ATCCCGAAGGTAGTACCGTGCTCTGCAGCTGATGCCAGGAGTATGAAAGGTCAATGCAAAGCAAAAATACGGGCCACCAAACCCACTGCTTTAGCTTGACATGCCTTCACATGCCTTCACTATCTATGTACCAATCTGTATCAACATATTGTTGCCTGGTTTTTGAGCCATGCAGGGCCATGCATCTCAGAAATATGAGAGGAGTGCATATTATACAGACGCTCTGATCAATAATCTGGCCAGAAAATCAACCACCTGTTTGTCCATGGTATTTTCTCGTTGGATCTACCCTCTGGTAAACATACAAAAAACTATGGAAAATCACTGTTTCTATGGCAATTTTCAATAGCCATGTTTGTTTACCAGAGGGTAGAAATATGTTCCAGCCAGCCTGAGATTGCTCAGCCCCAGGCCTCTTTAGGGCTGCTTGCAGCGGCTCAGTTTCAGCCGCCGCATGAGCCAAGCAGTCCTGCCGGAGAGGAATTTTACCATGATCCAATCGATTGGGTTGATCGATATTAAATGATCCCAAATTCAGCTGGGTGACTACTGTAGCCATTTGAGTGAATCCACTACATAGCTACAAAAAGGTTACTTCACTCACCCGAGGTTACTTCACTCACCCGAGGTTACTTAACTCACTCGTGTTTGATGATTCAAGTTACCAAATGATGTTTGACCCATTGATCTGAATAACAATTCCCAGACCAAAACTTCTCGAGCCATTCTTGATGCCCCAGTATCATCGCAAGGAAGTAGACTAGACAGCACTAATTAGACATCAACATGTGCAGCACTTGGCCTTAGATATCCTTAGATCCATCCGCCGGCGCTCCTCATGCTCTTGCACTATGGCTTCATCCAACGAGGTGATCGTCTCACCTTGGGCCAATTTTTTTGTCCAGTAGGGGGATGGGACTTCACTGGATGGTCATGCCAAATTGGCCTATTTGGGGCTCTAAATCTTGCAACTTTGGAAGGTTTCGGTTTCACCAACTGAAATGGGATCTACCAAAAAAACAGGGATCTGAAACAACAAAATGGTATTTAAAAAAAAAATGCCTAGTTCAGGACATCAAACCTCCAAGTTCCTCCCTTTTCATGCCCCACTGTTGCAGCAGCCCTCCGGTGTCGAGATCTAAACACAGCAGGCCAGATCCAATCCCAGCGGCCCATTCTGGTCGATCGCGTAGTGATCTCTTTGGAATCATCGGCCTAAGCTGCATGCAACATGGCCCCCACCCAACCGCCCTATGGCCATCGCTACACAAAAAAAAAGAAACAGTGAACTCACATCAAATCCCTGCCACCTGTCAAGCATGCACAACTATGTTCTTTCTCAAATTCTTTGCTACAAAACATATTGGGACATATATCTTGGGACAAACATGGACTTCTGAATATTCAACACAGGATCTTCTGCAGTACACAGGTCAAGGTGTGGATCTAGCTGCAAACCAACAAAAATATGAGGCATCATGAAGCATCAAGTGATGCAACTGGGATATACTCGATCACCTCAGGAACCGACAAATTTCTGCTTCCAGGCTTTTTTCCGTTCTGCCACGGTGTCCACAAATTCTTTGCAGAAGTCCTGTGCAACATCGCACGGCGGAAAGACTGCGTTGCTCACAGATGTTGTTCACACCTAGAAACTCAGACCTGTGTGTATATAAACAGGACCCTGTTTAATATCCCAGCATACTTGCCCGCAGCATTTTTGTACCTATCAAGCATGAAGCAAAAGCTCAGCTCACCACCGTATTGTAAATCACGGGTCTAACTTCATGTACGTACCTTACTTTAAAAAGGATCGAAGGTCAAAGCAAGGGTGTATGCGACAGGTGGAACTTTTAACATGTCATTTGCTAAGAGTGTGTCACTCTTCCTTCGCCTAATTACCACCATTCCGATCTTCAGAAAAGCAATACATGAGATTTGCACCAGAGCTATATCGTTCGCTCACCCTCATGGGCAAACCCAATTACATCATATGACATGCACATCAAATTCATGGGAGTTACGTGATTCTGGACTGAATTTGATCTGCACAGCGGCAACAGTGAAACGAGCGTCTCATCTTATCCAAAAGAAAAAATGCCAAACACCGCAGTATATGTATCTGCTAGGACTACATCATCTCAAGTTATACCAAAAAACAGTAACAAACAGATATACTACGAAGAATCTACTCCCGACATGTGTTGCCTCCACAGAAGATTCTATAAAGAACCAACGTACAGCGCCCCTTCCGCCAAAAAGAACCTCTTGCTCCCCGAAGCTCAACGACAAATGTCCACCGGTCCACCCATCAAGTTAGGCCCACGCCACCACACAGGTGATTTTACACATTCTATGCCCACCACTAACCATCCATTAATCATCAAAATCTGGTTTAATCTTCCTGGTTTTGGTCGCGCTGAAGCCATTGATCCCATTTAAAAACATCCACTAACCATCATTAAATCGCTGATGTTCCTGGTGATTTTTGCGCTAATTTTCCATCATTTTCCCCATGGAACCCCCGACCTTCAGCTGATCCAAATTCATCTTCGCTTCTTTGTCCGATTTGCTTCTCATCGCCACCAGCCGATCCAGGATCTCGAGCGCCGAGCGATGCCAAAGGCTTGATGGATAGCTGCCTACGTTACTTTTGTTGGATTCATTCATACAAATACTGATTGTATACTTATATATATACACTAATTACTAATATATATATACATATTAAATATATATATATACATATTAAATATATATATACGCTAATATATCCCATTATTGTCGGTAAGGCACCCACATATTTTGGGGATCCAAACGCCTTCTACGCATGTTTTGTGTGGTCAAGAGAATGATCTCATCTGGTTGGTGTCAGCCAGCATCGTCCCCACTGATCAATGGGGATCATGCCTCCGAGTTAAGATGGAACTAAGGAACATGAAAAGAGACCTTGAGTTCAAATATGTTCAAACAGCAATGTACCACCAGTAGGATACCCCCTAGTAATCAAACGTGGCAATGGAATCCCAGATCAAAATGGATGTTTAATGAGACAAGAATCTATAGTTTGTATATATATATATTAAGTAAATATATATATTGTATATTGTATATATGTATATATTGTATATATATAGTGTATATATATTATATTAATTATATCATATTAATATCATATTATATATATATATGGTGAATTTGCCAGCAAACCATGTTTGCTTACCAGAGGGTATTTAGATCTCACGAAATGAAACCACTCACCAGTCATGTTGGCTCCGGGCGCCTCTTTGTTTCTCTGATCATACAGCTTGGCGAGCACACCTCGTCCCTGCCAGGGCAGCTGGGTCGCTCGTAACTGGAAAGGCCTCGATGCAAAAAGATTGGCTTCTTCAATATCATCAATATGCTGTTCAACTTGGTGTTCAAACTATTTCATGTCCATTTTTGAAAAGATTTCCATAACATAAATACATAACATGGCAATTTCATAACATTTCCCGTAACTTGTCCAGTTTAAAAAGAGTGGTTCCAACATCCCGCAGATTCCAGCGGAAATTCCAGCGCCTCGCGAGCCTCCTGAAAGGAGGCAGCAATATCATCATGCCTCAGGGGCCACTTATCGATTGGTGTCTCCAAGGGTTTGGAGAAGACCGAAATTATTAATCTGGTTGGTGGTATACCTAGCCCTCTGAAAAATGATGGAGTTCGTCAGTTGTTCACCTTATTCCTAATATATGGAAAAATGAAATTCATGTTCCAAACCACCAACCAGTAATGAGATTACTATGAGTCTGAGATTGGATGTATGTATCAAAATAGATTATATGTATTGATATTTTGATATATCATGATGTATTCACCAGCCATCAATGTCTATGCTGCTTCCATCAGAAGGAAAAAACACATGGTGGGTTGATATCATCATCAGAAGAAGAAACTCCTCGACTCGCTGATCGGCTGGTCATCTGGGGGGTACCAATGTTTGATATGTTTGATCCATAGCCACAGAGTTTATACACTGACACGTTGGTACAAGGCACAATGATATACACTCACAACAACAACGTTTTTGTTGGACATTGTCTCGATTCCATCTTCTTCAGTATATATATATATATATTAGTTGCTGAGTTCCCAATGTAACCCTCCTCACCCACTGAGGCTTGCGTGCTCTCGGCAGTAGATCTCCAACTTTTCATCTTGGAAAGGCCTGCAGCAAAGTATGGGTGGTCAAACTATGATCAAATGGGTGTGGGGATTATCGCAACAACTTCAGTGCTAAGGCTTCCAGACCCACAATCACCAGCTAAGGCCAGAACTCAAGCTGTGCTTCTGCAGAAGTGACCCTGATGACTTCAGACTTGGTCAACCTTAGCTGGAAATCAATGCTTGGCAGTCCAGGATTGCAGTGGTTTTGTTGGAAAAATTAGAGGAAACCCCATATAGTTGATGGTAAAAAACCATGGTTTCTGCTTAAATTGTTCCCAAAAACCGATCCAATGATGTCATTGCATTAGATCATCTTTGATCACTGGAGCCCTGGTTGTTCAAATGGGAACCTGCCACCTACGCCCGATGAGAAGCGCCATGAATCAACAACAGCGCAGCGCCATGTGTTTGCCCCTATCTCTAAACAATTAGTCTGGGGCTCCTGATTATTCGGCTAGGTGGTTACAAGATGTTACAAGTACGCAGAAGGATAAATGCATCATTTCATTCAAAAGGAACATGTACCGATTCAATCCAAAAGCCCATCCATCTGGGCTTTTAAGATCATGATTCCCAGACCAAACATGTTGGCGCACCGGGAGGCCAAAGCACAAGCCGCGGCAGGATCAGTCAGTGAAGTCGTAAGTCTGTGTGTGTCAAAGATTTGGAACGCTCAGTTTCAGAAGTGTATTTATCTCTTGAGAATTCAAGACATCGACCTGTTTCGCAGGAAACAAAACACATAACTTAAGATTGGATAAATAAACCCTGCTAACAATAGCTGGTTTACTTATCCAATGGTTCATCCATCCAATAACCCACATTTATTCTATTAATGCTTACTCAATTTCCTCACAACCACTGATAATGTTGTATAACGTTACAATTCAACAATAACATTGGATTGCTTTAAAAGTCCTCACAATAATGGGGGTAAAGTGGGTTTATTGTTTAATGGGTTTGATTTAAATAGTTTAACAATCCTCCCATTAAACAATATACCATTGAACCCATTAAGAACATTCAATAACAATGATTAACAATCCATTTATCATGATTAATAATATAATTGTTATTAATGGGTTTAATCCATTCCAATGATAACAATAAACCCGTTAACAACGAGTCTAATCCATTAATAATTGATAATGGGTTTGAGTATCATTTAAAATGGATTATCATTATTCATGTAATTGTTATTAATGGATTGTTAATGATAAATGGATTGTTAGTCCAATGATTGTTAATCCATTTATCATGTGTTTTATTCCAATGATAACAATATAATGGAGGTACGGTACCATATAAGGCCATATTTGACATGGCCATTGATCCTTTTATAATGGTTTTAACCCAATCCAACGATAATCAGTTTAACCCATGAATAATGAGTTTAATAAACACTTTAATCCATTCATAATTTGACAATGGCCATTGAGTATCATTTAAAATGGATTATCATATCAAAATTCCATTTTCAGGAACCTGCCGGATGGGAAAACACCATGGCAGTGAAGGACGGAGAAGCCCCAAAATGGCACCATATAAATCCTCCATAATTTGATAATGGCCATTGATCCAAAAAAGCCATGGCTCCGCACGGCACCACTCCGGTGCTGTTGCCTTTGTTACTCGCGCGCTGCGGCGCCTTTCGGCCAGGCACCTGGTGACACGGACGACTGGAGACGTTGGGTATTTGTAGGACCTTGAAATGGTCATTTGTAGTATAAATATGTAGAAATGTAGTATAAATGGAGCATAAATGTAATATAAATAAATGTACTTAGTATAAATGTAGTTTTAAACAATAGTATAACATAGTATAACCATGTATATAACCTATCCAATTTTTGTGTCATAGAGAAATTCTCTCTTCGAGAAGTATGTCCAACATATTCAAAAATTACAACTAACCATTTCTGGTAGCCATTTCTGGGTGCAGAGTGCTTCACATTGCTTTCACAAACTGTCTTGCCACTATTTTCCAAAGTCATTTTCAAGGTTCAACCGGCATCATGGACATCGCCCCATGCCCAGCTGACCATAGTCGCCATGGCCCCAGTTCTGGTGGCGCTTGCTACATGGCCCAACCCACTGATTTTGAACCAGAAACTGCATCCAACAGCCTGGGGCAGGGCCGATATGGCTGTCTTGGAGGATCTTCGATGTTTGGGCAGAAAGCGAAAGAGGTTTGAAAGCACCGGTGTATTGATGCTTTGGTCATTTGAGATATTTGAGTAATTACAACCGGCATCCCATCTTTGGGGCTATCTAAGCCTTGACCAATGCCCATCTGGCCATTTTTTGGGCTACATTTGATCCGCACTTTGCTCTGGCTGCACACATTGTCACCGTCTTGCGGCAAGAGTAGGGCCGACAATCTCTACCTGCCTGCGGTCACAACATGTTTATCCCGAAGTCAACTACCAGGGATTCCAGTCGCAAACCACCGTTTGATGAGTTACCATTGAACTTCCCTTGGAAAATGATGTTCCTTACAACTTGCACCATTTTGTTCAGGGTTCCCTGCTATTTTTGTGGTGGGTCTATCCCTGAACCTCGTTGAGAACTCCAGGAATCACCAAGGCTCTTAGAGCTTGGCTATTCTGATCCGAGGTGGAACGCCGCATGCGCTTCTCCCATTGTTAGTTATAGCTGCAAAGGTCTTCACCATCCTTAACCAGTGAGGTAGAATCTTCTACCCGACCTACCTGAAAAAAAAAGGGAAAAAAAACTTATCTATTTCATGATCTTCCGAAGAACATGAAAAAAATCCGGTGACCAACATTTTACTGAACACCATCCATCAAAGCACCATGTCAAGCAACCAAAAAACCAGCTCGCCAGCATCCCGCATGCGTATCTGCCGTATGTACATTGGGAGCGCGGAGATCGCTTCATTCTTCCACCTCCATGGAGCCGGCGGCGGTTCTCTCCACCTGAGACCGAAGAAAGATTTGGGGCTCAGAATGGACCATTTTGGAACCCAAAGAACTGTGTTTAGATATGTTTGGAATTTAGACAGTCCAATTTTGGCGGATTTGGGAGATGATTTTCAATTTTGAGATACAATATGTTGAGCAATTCAAATTGGACATCCAAGAAAAAAACCTGGCAACGAATTCACTGGCCTGACAGATTAGGCTTGGAAATTCAAACTCATTAATTAGGGATCGATGAAACCCTCACAATATTCAAAGAAGACTACATAGAGCTGACTTCGACTATTTTGAGCCGCCATCTCTCCCCAAAAACCAACATGAAATCCCCAAACTAGCAATCATCTCAACTTCCAACCAGAAATCATCGTCCAAACCCTTGAGCTTCTACTGGCACCTTGAGCTTCTGCCGGCTCTTGGCTTTGGTGGAGCCAGCAAACTCCTCCGGCCAGTGGCCAGTAGCCATGGGGAAAATGATGATTCATCCAGAAGGATTTAGGCCCATTTTATCCATATTTTTATCAGATATATCCAATGGTTCATAGATATACCATCTGGTAATTTAACATAGCCATGGAAAGATCCACCCATTTTTAAGAACGGTAAACCATCCATTTCTATGGGCCATGGCTTCCATGGCTATGTTTTTTTGACCTGGATGACCTGTCCCCAGCAGCAGAGCTGGTCCTTCTGGTAGTGCAAGGCCTTCTCCTTGTTGGGTCCTTCCAGGAGGTGTGCACTCCGCGCCTTGGGAACATTTGGGAAACAGATGTAGAGCAAGGATGGATAGGGATGGGTTTCTCGAATTTGGCGAGAGAAACTATGAACATAGGGAAATCATGGAAAATCCAGAGGTTGAAAACCTCATATTTTACCCATTCAAATGGCGATCTATTGTTGGCGAACCCACCTTTCTCGAGACAGACCCAGGTACTGTAGAAATGGCTTAAACTTGGCAAGACAACTGAGGGTCAGACCACCTCCTTCTGTGCGCTGGTCTGTCTCTTCCTGGTCATGGTTACAGTTGCATATAGCAAGTCGTTTGGTATGCAAAAATGTGATGTGTTTGTCCCACCTAAACAGGCCTCTAGCATTTCTGGGGCCCTCAAAGCCCCACAGGAAATGTTTGACCCATACCAAACATACCCATATATAATCCCATATACACATAATGTTTATTCTGATCGGTACCATGTCCGTGCCTCTCTGCATAACTCCATTCCATTCTAGATAACTCTTAGTCAATCCATGTCAATCCCAACCCTAAGCTAAAGCCCCATTTGGACATGTTCTCCAAACTTACTACAATATACTACACTAATTTACAATATACTACATTGATCTACATTGTACACTACCATGTTACATGGCACCACAATAATGTACGGGGATCGGTCGATGTCACTACACCCCACTGTCAGCTGATTCCTCGAGTCTCCTTCAACCAGTACCCTGGCAGCGGCACCTGAGTTGAGCCGCCAATCTCGCCTTGTGAAAACGCCTCAGGACGCTACTAACAATCATAACAAATAGGAAACAACGGGGAAGTACCAAATGTCGAAGAAAAATGACATCTAAGCAGTCTAAGCATATCTAAGCCAAGAATTCACTTGGAAATCAGATGATCCATGATATCCCACCATCTTCTCAAGGAATCCAGTGGAGTTCCTTGAATCAAACAGCCATTGCAACCTGGGCGGACGGACTCCTTTCTGACTGAGCGGATGCGCTCCACAATCTGCATGGCTCTGACCTGGAGGCTGATCTGTGATCCACTGCGACCTGGCTACTATGGGGCAAAATGAAGTACCAATGGGCACACAAAAAATTGCTACTAAACCATCAATTTTAAGGTACTAGACCATCCATTTTTGGGATCATGAATTTTGGTACTAAACCATCAATTTTGCTTGGGATCATGAATTTTGAGCCCCTGAAATTGTCCATGCCTTTAAACAAATTGAGAAAAGGGGTTCTCTTTGCACAGCAGTCACATCCGTCCACGAATCTCGGGAGCGGACGGTCTTGACCATCAAATTTCGGTTGTACCTGTGACGAATAGGGTGTCATGAACCCTGACTGTCGCTGCCATCGTGCCCGTGCTTGCTGGTTCAAATGAACCACCTGAAAAAAAAAGTCTTGGGAACAACATATTTTGTAAGGGGGGTCAACTACAAAACATCGAACATGGATGAAAATCGGGGTGGAATCTTTCGTGACGTATCTGGGTGTTCCCACAGCAAAAAAACATATAACTCTCCGTGCTAAGTTTCCACTCATCCCTCGCTGTTTCAGTTGCAGCACCCAGAACCAAGCGCCTGGTAGGAGTCAAGCGCTTCTTTTCAAAGTTGAAGGTAGAGTCCACCACCATCTCCTGCTTGCGAAGTTGCAAGTATGTATGGTTTCATCTTATTCCTCTCAGCCAGCGTGACAACGGAATAGCTCCAGCAAATTTTGAGCTTCATACCATCATTGCGCCAGTCAAGTTTCACAGTCCGAAATTGCTTCAGCAGCTGTCCTTACCACGAGCTCGTCTGTAGGCCTGCAGGAAGCTGGAAGCAGAAAGTTGCAGACAGGAGATTGCTGCCGATCGAATTTTGATTTTGCCCTAATCTTGAACATGGTTTTTTCCACCAGTGTCACCCCAAACAATTTTGTTTGGCAAGGCCGTGTGTATCTGTTGTTTTTCCTGCGTAGTGAACCATCCACCACCTGGCCTTGGTCCACTTCAGCTTGCGTGGATTGTGCTTCATCTTGAAATGTTTGTGGCATTTTGAACCTCGCAGCAGTTTCTCACCCCTGCCCTCCCATGCCCCACTGAGGGCTGACTGGCTGATGATCAACCAGGATCAACACGACGGTTTCGTTGTAGCTGGGTACAAGGACGGCAGAAACGGAATGTCTTACAGTCGTTGCGCACAAACCTGGTGATCCGATCGGCCAGACCCTGAGATGTTCAGATCAGGGACCATTGTGGGGATGATGTAGACTCTGAAGAAACATGCGATTCTTTGGATGTATTTGGCTCGACTAGTAACACTATAAGTGGGTCTATTGATTGGCCAATCAAAATCAGGGATAGATCATCGTAGTTCAACAATCAGAGGAATATGTCACAACCAGCAACAATGGCTCTAGAGGCCACATATTAACGGGGGTCAATCATCCACGGAGCCGGTGGTAAGGCATGGGGGTGTCAGAGATTGCAGGCATGTCGTCCCCAACTTGTACCAAACAAACATTGGTTGTCTATAGACCTCAAATCATCCGGGCTTCTGGTTGGCTTTACTAGTACCACACGGAAAAGCCCCTCAAAACACAGGTCGGTGGCGCATGATGCCATGACCAGGATAGATATTGCTGGAGCAAAACCAGCACCTTAGGTGCAGCAAGGCTGTCACGGCACGTTGGAAATGGCTTGTCAATGCATCCTCAAAGACTTGGGTCATATATATGGGTCATACCAGTGAAAGGAGGAAATATCACGACTCAGTTATTATACCTGAGACATCCTGAGATCCATTATGAATGCCATTGTCAGGTCCAAGGAATCTGATTCGCTGCGATGTCTGAGCTACAGACTTCTCAATTCTCATGGCTGCACCTTGCCGGGGCGATCCCATAGCTGTTTCGATATGTTTCCATGTGATTTGAGATGTTATATCGGTTATATCATGTTACATCTGATTTATATATCTGATTTACCAATACAGGTCCAAAAACCTGATGTTAGATGCTTCTTGATGAAAATCTTGATGAAAATCTTGATGAAAATCTTGATGATCAAATCAAAAAAAACATGTTGGTTGATGAAATCCTCAAGTTTTCATCGTAAGATCTCCATGATCTTCCCTGTTTTCGTTGATCAAATCCACCGCCCGCCTAGACGTCACGGATGCCACAAGGCGCCACCCGAAAAAACTACCACGGATCTTGACAGTTGAGCCGGCCGCGGTGGCGCAAGGTGGATCTCATGTCATGGCTATGTTATGGCTATATGATATAGAGATACATATATATATATACTGTATATATGATGTGTATATATATATATGTGTGTGTGTATGTATGTACTGTATGTATATATATATATAGGTCATATATAATCATATATATATATGATATGGCTATGGTTGCATGGTTGATGTGTTCAACCAGCTTCACACCATCTTTCCAAGTTAAGAACGGAACCACTTTGACACCAACACAAACCAAGCACTGTTAGATGATCGTCCCAGTTGGGAACCGGCTGGCAATTGACAACAGCAGCAGCCACAAAGGCTTTCGACCAACAATGGGGATGACATGGGATGACTGAGTAAAAAATCTGATCCACTATGATCCACTGCTGAGGTCTAGTCATATCTTTCCAATCTAATTAGGAGACTCAGAAGCCATGGTTGACTACGTGGGCCATGGCATATCATCTTTGAACCAAACGATCAACAGCATGAACGCATATGAAAGCAGCCAGGTGGACTCAAGGGTGGACTCAAGGGTGGTGCCTTCCCTCTGTTTTCATGGGTGATCACTTGACACGTCGAAACATGCAAAGTGAGACCGTCCAGTTGACCAGTTTGGGCATCTGGAATGTGAGCTTGGAAGCTTGTCAGAGGCTTTCGTCTGGCCAAAATTTTACTGCTTGGCTGTTGATGTTGGGCGAAAAGCTCTGACAACCGAGCTTAATCTGCCTGGGTGAAACTGAGACTGAGAACTCTGTTTTGCAGGGTCCCAGTATCCTGGAAAATGCTGTCTTTTATCGTACAGCATCATCTGAAGTCGGGGTTGGACGGCCTGTCCTGAGTAGGGAACCCCCAGAAGACACTTCTCAGTTAACATGTTGCTTCATTTCCGCAAGGGGAAGTTCTTCTAGTGATCTCAACTCTGCCATTCCGATCCATTCTGCTTACATTGGAGGTATAGTTTGGATGATTAATAATAATAATGGATCAGAATAATGGATCATAACTATAACCATCAAAAAATTACTATGATGATTCATGGGATCCCCAAAACTTTGGACAACTTTGGACCCAAACTTTTCAATGACAGCAGGATAAAACCCAGTCCTCGTGCAACTGGACAAAGGACGGGAAGGTTCTCTGCCGCAGTCGGTCCAGCTCCTGGCGTCCATTGGGTGTTTGGCGTCCAGGAACCTGGTGAAAACATACATAGATTAATTGGATATGGTGATATGGTTGGACTAGTGACTAGTGTTAGATTGATCTTGGATTGTTGTCTTTTTTGTTGGTTACCCATCCTTTTTGGGGGTAATCTAATCTATAATGCTACAGTCATCTGAGATGCCCTGTAAAAGGCTTGGAAAAAGTGGCTGGGTATGATATGGTATGATACCCCCATGTTCGGCCAACAGATCATCAAACGACCAAAACCAATCATCGCGGTTGCAGTTACATCCTTCTATCCCCAACTTTGTGAACATCTTCTGTTGTTGAAGTGTTTTCCTGCCGTTTCCGTCTTCCTATATCAAACAGGTATCAACAATCTCATGATGTCCCCAGTGGTTAAGTCCACTCATTATCCTTTATACAATCATCCAACAGTTGTCTAAACATCCCAGTGGCTTTATCAGAAGTGAAATGGTCCCCCAAAATGGCCATCTTCAATCATTTCCGTGGTGGAAAATGAACATGATCGGACACCAAGCATGGGCCTTTATATGTTTTCTGGAGATTTGTTGCTTTTATGGTTTTTCCCAGCATTTGTTCAGCACACCCATGGTGATTACTGGTCATTACTTCATGATTCCCAGTATAATATAGTATAAACCCATGGTTTTCCATGGGTTTTCCATGGTTTTTCCATTTTTCCATGGGTTTTCCATGGGTTTTCCATGGGTTTTCCATGTTTTTTTCCATCCATCCAGGTGGCCTTGTGAAGAATTTCGATTTCTTCGGTGTTCTTCTTAGCCTCGGTGCAGCCCAGTGGCCGGCTCCACGGTCGGCTGGAAATTAGCCACTGAGGCAGCGACAGCCTCCATGAGTCTTTGGCGACTTCTCAACTGAGCGGCCAAAGGTGTGGAGAATACATTTTCATCATAGGATGTTCCATTATAAATCATCCATACATGGGGTAGCCCCATTTATGGAAACCTCCAAATGAGGTTATAAATATTCTTTACCCTCTGGTAAATTAACATAGACCCTGGCAGAAAACGGGGTTGGAAGACTAGTTTCCATTAAAAATGGGGGGGATTTTCAGGGTCTATGTTTATTTACCAGAGGGTATATTTATCTATACATTTGACATGAAGATTAGAAAGGAATATCATCAGAGACATGGAATCTATTGTTGAATGGATATGGGAGCGGGCGTGTGGAAGTTTGGATAGGCCAGATGCATCAAATGGACAGGGAGACTGTCGATGTTGCCTGGGTCCGGGTCAAATAGTCTAGTTTGGTGATGAGAAACTCTTTTGAATGACTTTCCCGCCAAATGTATATACATATAGATTGAGCATGATTGAGCCATACTGTGCTGATCCCTGAAGTGAGCATACTTGACTATATCATCACATGGCAATCAACCTATATATATATACAACATTATACAACCTCATGTATGTATTATAGCTGAGCCACTGCAATCCCCACTTAGACTGGTCAAATGAATACCGACCAACGATTCAGGAACTTTCGGGTGCCCACGAGCTGCCATCAACTGAGCTTGACCCCACCTCCTTGAACGCAGCCCGCGCGGCTTTGGCGGCACCCTCATCTTCCTGTGTTGTACCAATCCCCTGAAAAATCACTGGAACTTGGCTTTTCCACTTGCAGCTTGGGTATGTCCCCTTCGACTGAACCCCCAAGAAAACCTTGCAGAATCGCTTCAACTTCCAGAAATCAAAAACAAAACCATACAGTTCAGCCTAAAAGTCAACAAAAAACATCTTCTTCCCATATCTTCCCCAAACCAACACAGGTAAAGCAGGTGCATCACACACCCCAACTTTTCCCCAGGTTTTCACCAAACCCACCCGAGCCACCCCCAGGAGGCACCTCCACCCGTCCGCCACCACCGGTCTTCTGCTGCCCGCCACCCGCGGGGCCCCGGAGGCGACGGATGTGCTCTCTCTGGATCACGTTCTGCTGCAGCTCACGCAGCTTCCTGGCGCTGGGGGACAGGGAAGGATGGAAAAAAAACACGTGTGGCAAAAAAAAGATGGATGATACTTTAGTGACTCTTGGAAATGACCCATTTGGATTGATCTGCAAGCACCTTGAATGGCACAACACCCCAGAGTTTCGACATTTTTTCCAGGATGGAAAGTGCATTGCACACCATGCCATGGAAAATCTGGAAGTCGACTGGCAAGCTCCTTGTGCCTTCGTTCACACACCGCATCTTTCACCCAGATGTTAGTCAAGGTGTCAGACCTCCATCTCAAGACATCTCAAGACATGACAGGATGGCTTCTCCAACATCGTGTTCTCGTTCTTTCCTCACAGACAGGCGGCACTTCAAGAGTCTGGGCAAAATTCATATCGGCATGTCCGAGTCCTGACCATTGGATGACTGCCAACAGGGCAGTTTCCGAACAGGATTAGTACGGATTACTCGTTCTATACTCCCCGGCCCAAGCTGGTACTTAGTCCAAACCTGCATCAGCATGTATCAACCATCATGTTTGGGTCACATCCCTTATCAACATGTATCAACCATATGAACAATACATCAACCATTATCAACCATCATCAACCATACACCAACCATACATCAATCAACCAGTACAAATCTCCAGTTTTGTCATGGCTCATACCCCACTGGACCGTCAAACTCCACTGGTTACTTGGCCACTGATTTTCCGCCCAAGACACGGAGCTTTGCAGCATGCGACACCATCGAATGCTGCTTCTTCAGTGCCTACGGGTTGAACAATAAGACACGGTGCGGCAACATTGATCAGTTACCATCTGGTTATGACTAACATAGCCATGGGAAATCACCATTTTTAATAGGTAAACCATCTATAAATGGGCCATCTATGGCCATCTATACCATGGCCTATGTTAAATAACCAGAGGATATAGTATTTCCATGTATTTCCAACATTTGGTGATGATACGTTCTTGTCTTGTATAACAAAGTGACTAAGTCACTTCCCACTCGAGCATCATTTCCTTGGTTGAAATTCCGACTTGTGGATCAACAGTTGTTGGACGACGTTGGACAGCCAAAATGGATGGTTTCACGGTTCAAAAAATGACCAGATTGATGGGTTGCATGGTGACTCAATGACTTGCCCTCCATGTTTAATGGGAAAAAAAAAAACCTACAGATTCAGCCTGCTCCTTCTTCTCAGTGGCCTCGCTCAAGTGCTCGATCTTTCCTCGAAGCTGCTGTTTTTAAAAAAAGCGAACGAGTCAATTCTTGGGAAATAAACCAGCAAAAAAAATATGGACGTATATAATCCACAAAAAATATGGTGCAGCACAAATGTGCATTTGACCCACACAATGGGGAAATCACCAATTACTTGTCAGTGGGGTAAGTTAAAATGGATGTTTATGGCACCAAAAATTCCAATCAGGCTGGTTCCTGAAATGGATCATAGAATCAATAGAATGATGGATTTAATACACCAAGGCATGGACTGATGGCTTCCAAGGCCCCAGCTTTCAAGCAAATCCGATTCTGCCTTGTTTCTGCCTGGAATGGAAGACTCAGAATGCAGTGCAAAAAGTCATCTGACCAAGTCACCTGTCTGGTGGGATGGATGAACTGTACAGTCAGCTCTGGTTGGATCATGTCTAACCAATGAAATCCTCCAACTGTGAATGTGATATCACTTCCAAGAGTAGAAACCCATCTAGCTGGATTGGTTGAGTGAAGCAGGATGTCTGCTGGCAGAGGACAACGTGGACAACTGGCTATGTCCCAAAACTTGCTTTGGACCCAAGTCATCCGCCATGTCATGGTCTATTACGACTAATGCGGCCCTTTGATGGGCTATACCCGCCCACTTGCAACACAGGAATATACCCTTCATGTATCAATCTATTCCAGCAAACACTACAGTCACTATAGGTTTAAAAAAATAGAAAAGTTAAAATCAAATCCTGGGAATTTTGAGGAAACAGCATCATCTATAGTACTGTAGTCCCATCCTGGATATACCGTCCTATCTTTTTTGGGGGGAGATATCTATAGATTCCCCGTATATCTTTTAACGGCCCCCCTATCGTTTGCAGCACCTTCTTCGCCACCTTTGAGCAAAGATTGCAGGTCCTGTGGAGATATGTCACTATTTCGTTTGAGGAGAAATGCATAGCTGTTGGATCAAGATAAGATGTGCATCTCTTCAAATAGATCTTAATAAATCTTTAATATAGATGTTCAAAAGACATATGGTATGAGTTTTACATACAGATATAGATATTCAATAATATCAATACATGTTCAACAGGTGCCAATGGTTCAGTATAATCCCCGGCCCCAGGATGTTTGCTGGTTCTGCCTTCCCATGTTCAGATGGGTTGAATAAGTAGCCATACACTATCCATGTTACTTTTGGACCTCCAGTTAGACAAATGCACCTCTCCTTGGTCACACGGAGCATATGTACATCTTTGGTTCTCTCCTGGCATGATGGGCTGCAAGCCAAGGTGCTGGATGCAAAGGCCATGCTAGTGTATGTTTCTGTGTTTCGGTTCGAAGCAAAAATGTTGCGGACCAACGTTGCTAAAATATGCGAAAATCTTGCAAAAAGGTCCCATAACTTTGGAATGATGTTAAAAGAAAGTCTCCCAAAGATCATGCAGTAACCAACTGATGTACCCTCTGGTAATTTAACATAGCTATTGAAAATCACCATTTTTAATGGGAAATCCACTATTAATGGTCATGTTCAATAGCTATGTTAAATTACCAGAGGGTACCACTTCTTGACCAGCATCATTCCAAAGGAAACCATCACATTGATTGTTGATTCCCCCAATTTCTTCTTCTATTCTACTCATATCCCCAAGAAATGGCAAGATGATTCTCCCAAGCTCGCAGATCCTCTGGCGCCCCCATCCATTCTGCCTCCAAATCGGTGGTTTGCAGCGCCAGCATTTCATGCTCCCAGTCCAACAGGCTCAAGGATTTTCGGAACTCCTTGCAGCAAACGTCCAGGTGCTCAGTTTCAAGCTCGTGGCAGAGCTCCCTGGTTGGGTAAGCAGGAAAAAACACCACTAGGTTGTTGGCTGTCAAGAGCCTTGATCTCTGTGTGTCCCCCCGAAAAAGTTGCCACAATTTGGCCAGAGATGGGGGGATGTTTGAACGGCAAGCGGATCGGTGGCAGTCCTTGATCTTGGTCAGGATGTGAACCTTGTCTTTTCCAAGATCCGTGATCCTTCTATTCCGGGATTCGACCACCTGCACAAGGTTTGAGATTCTGGACTGATCTGGGGCATCATTCGTGGACAAGTAATTTTGAAATATTTTGAGTCATTTGGAAGTGCTTCGAATCCTAGGTATGTCCAGGATTAGGGATTGAGAAACCACCAACATGGTCAATGTTTGCAGGGAGACCAGTGTTCGATTAGGCCCATTAGGCCAGGCCCTGGTCCATTTTCGAATGCGCCTAAAGATTGGTGAAAGTCCCGTTATTGTGGGTCCAAATGCAAACTTTTTGTGAGCTTAATCTCCATGTTTGAATCCTCAATGTTGGTGATTGATGAGTACTTGATGTCCCTCATTTTGAGATCATTTCAGCCCATCTTTCTAGGTGTGTCAATGTCCCAAAATTGGCTCTTAGTTACTAACTTAACCGGCAAAATTTTGGTGGTTGACTTAACTATCCCCAACTGGTGAATATGTCCCCATCTTGAGACACATCCAACTATGTTTCCTGGTTCCTGTCATCCTGCTGACCTCCTGGTCGATCACAATGGCATCCGAATAGTCGGTCACCACGGCAGCTTGTGGCACTTCAACCTCCAACAGATTCGGTCTGCATCCCATCTTGGCGGCAACCAACCTTTGCCCATCCCCAGTAATGCCCAAAATAAGTATTGCCATAATTTGCCATATGTTCTGCCCGATCTTACCAAAAAAGTTGGCTGGTCTGAATTTGAAAGAGTTGTTTTTTGAGGCACAAAGATCATCACACATCACACCTGGCCCAAAATTGGATGGTTGAAGTGCAACTGGGTGGAATGAAACCTTCAAGATCTCAAAGAGAAATGCGTGGAACCTCCAGTTTTTCTTGGCAATTTAGTACGTTTCGAACATTAATAGCCGGTTAAAATCGGTTAAATAATGATGTTTAAAAAAGTTCTGTGATCCTAATCCTGCTAGCTTCTGGAAAGCCATAGAGTATATATATATACCCTCTGGTAATTTAACGTAGCTATTGAAAATGGCCATTTATAGTGGATTTTCCCATTAAAAATGGTGATTTTCCATAGTCATGTTAGTTTACCAGAGGGTATAGACCCATCCCGGATGGCTCTCAAGGTCGGAAGCGGTCCTGACCCTGCTTCAGCTTGAACAAAATCTCGATGTCGTAGAGCTCACGGTTCATCAATTCCTGTGTTTTTTTTGGCGGAAAATTCCCGCTGTAAAATGTGTGAATGGAAAAATATGTATAGGGAAAAAATATTGGGAAATTCCATGGATATTGGATCATAGGACACTCATCACATTACTATAGGTGAGCTTGCCATTCAGAATATCTACAGTAGCGTTCAACAAACGATGAAATTCATGGCTTTGCGGGATGGTTATCATCATTATTAACCATTAAAAAAGCCATAGTATAATGATTATTATCCATTAACCATTCACCGTAATGATTAATTGCCAACATCTCTGGCGTTGCTGGCCTTATGTTCCCGAAGTTCTCGCTCTAAGCGGTCTCGGTCACCTTTGGCGTCGGCGCACCTTGGGCAGCGCGGCGCAGCGTGGCGGGGTGGTGCCCTTTAAAGGATCCCTGGGGAGTCTGTGGGGGTCAACTTCACACTGGTTTTCAATGGTCTTAATGATGGTTAATGATGATTAATGATGGTTAATGATGGTTAATGAATTAACATGTCTCAACTGACAAGTCAACAATAAAATCCAATTCACCAACGAATCTTGTGGCAAGTATTTCGAGGTTTGATCCACGCAGCCCACCTTTCTTATGTGGGAAATGGATGGAAATTGGCAAATCATCTGCGAATGATGGAACTGAAATCTGGTGCAGCGAATGGTATGGAAGCTTGGAACCAATCAGGGAGAGGAAAGAGCTTGTAATATCCTTCCACTGGCATAAAGGTGAATAAAATATCCAGGACAAAATACATGGACCCTTACCCTTCTGCTTAGTCCAAAAAGTCGCGATTTTATGGCCACTTGAATAGGAACAAAGGATCAGCAACCATTTGGCTATTCGGGGTACCCCATGTTTGCATTCACCAATTTCGTTCAATCTCTGCACCTACCACTGCCCGCTATGTCCAATCCTACATCTGCGCGTACTTCTGCTACCTTCTCAGAGTCTGTTATGGCTTCAGAAGCTCAAATAATCTCGAATACATCACTTGACCAACCAACCCCAAAGAGGCTCGTAGAGTATGACTGTTCCAACAACGACGCTCCTGCCACCTCTCGCCAAGCTGCTCTCGCTCCAAGTGAGACAAGAATCCACCCATTTCGGACAGAACCATGGCCTTGGATGTGGTGAGTTCTCCGTTGATACCTACCATGACTACATCCAGGACCGTTGGATGCACCCATGAAAACTCACATGGAATCTAAAAAATGCAATTTCCAAGGAGGGAAATCATCTGTCATCTGGAGCCCTTTTTTTCGTTGTTCCATGCTATAGTTCTCGGAAGGCTATTAGCCAGTCTTGCCACTATCTGGGATGATCTTCCAACTCAGGTCATCATCCAGTGCACTATCGGAAACACGAAGAATCAACCAGTTTCAGGCCAGTTTCAGCATGTTTCTTTCGTTACATCCCCATCATTCGTTGTTAGACGACGACAACCAACGGCCACGCCCGAGGATGTCACTCCTTTCGCCACCTCCACCTCCGCCCGAAGCTTCTCCGCACGCAGCTCGTGCATGCGCTTGAAGCTTTCCTGACAGAAACCACGGCTTGGGTCAGCAAGTGCTTGTTGGTTCATGGATGTTTTCATGGAGTCTTTATGGCTCTTTACAGGGACAAAATCAAATGGATATAAATGATATAAATGGTTCATATTGAAGAACTCGGGGGGAAACATCATTGATTCATCTGGAATCCCATGTAGATGTGTCTGAATAATTCTGAATAATCAACATGGTTCTTTTGAATCCTTTTGTATCAGAATGCCGTGAATAAACGCCAATCCGATTGATTCATCCGGAATCCACTGCCGTCTCCATCCAGCCATGCTGGCCTCATCAACGCCTTCCGGACAGTCCTTCACGGCAAACCCAGCTCAGTGGACCCCAATCCTATCTGGGTGTGTTTTCAACTTGGAGAAACCTTAAAGAAGAAGTGGGTTCCCCAGCAGAAATAAGACTTAATTCAGTGATAAGTGGAATCCCAAGTTTAAGAAACCCCTTGGAAGTGAAGACGTGTGCGTACAGCCTCTGAACTCCGGGCAGCATTGAATTTGGCATTCAATCGGCCACCATCCCATTCCACCCCAGGCCTCTGGCTTGATGTCATCTTCCACTTGCGGCTCTAAGGATTCAGGGGGCCTTGGAGGTGACCCAAATGGGAGGGGACCAGGTCAGCCAACAAAAAAAAGCCCAGCGGCTCAGCTCCCAGGTCGATGTAGGGATCTCCCACCACCACCTCAGTTGATGGATGCTCCCAAGGATCACCCCGCAACATGGGCTACTGAGAAGCAGGCATCCAACGGCTTGCAAATCTTCGTTGGGAAGATCCCCGACACCTTGGTTTGTCATTCTGACATCACTGCCAGTGATTCTGATGCTGGAAGTCCGTGAAATGTATGGGGCTTGGGGCTTCAGATTCAATGGTACCACTTTCACAAAAATGAATTGACTTCCGTGGACAGGCATTGTTATCAATTTGAACAGTCAGAATTCAAATTCCACGGTGTCACCTTGGGTGTGCTAAATATCCTGCAATCGCCAGAAAGGACCTAAGACTATTATCTAGAGCTACGAGTGCTGTAGATTACATTAAATAACAAGGACCTTACTGAGTCTTATTGGCCCTACGAGTATGTGGATATTGGCAGAGCTTTGTTAAGGACTTAACCGCCCATGTCATCCTTGGGGTCCTTATCCACTTCTCACAAATGTCCTTACAAGTCCTCCAAATCTATTTATTTATTATATATATATATATTATATGTATATATAGATATATGTATATTATATGTGTATATATATAGATATATGTATATTATATTATATATATATGTATATATTATTTAGTTATCTATCTATGTATTTATGCGATGGACTCACCACTTGCTTCACCACCATTTGTGATGTCAACCCTCAATAGACCCCCATTATATGCCGCCAACATATCACCATTACCAAATGTCCAGATTCAACCTCCAAAAACACATTTGAACTCACATTTAGTTCAACCAGTTCAACCATCCCACTTAAATCTGTATATGATATGTTATATATAGTTCAAGCCGGAACATATATCCATTACATTCCATTACAGCATACATCCTTTTACCGTAAAGTTTTTACCATTATTTGTGTTGCTTAAATCGAGTGAACTCACCTAGTTTTCTTCGCTAAGTCATCAAAGATAACTGCAATTCAGTTCAACCCTCCCGGGTGAATTTATGTCTGTATTTACTGTATTATAAATTATAATATATTTATAATATAATATAGATTAATATAGGCTATTAGTTCAACCCCAAGTTCATATCTGGTAGAAATCTCCGGAAAACCCTGCCATTACTGCCAGAAATCCCCCGAAACGCCAGGTGACGCTCTTCCGCGCCGTGCTGCGCGTGGCGGTCATCATGGGCTCTTCCCCGAAGGACTTGCCCTGGGAGCTGAGGGTCAACGCAAAAAATGGGGAGATGAACCGGGAAAAATATGGATGTGGGTCAAAACCTTGTACCCCTGTAGTTCACATCAAAATAGCTGGTAAATGGATGTTCATCCCCCTAAAAATGGTATTAATAGGTATTGATCCATACCCATATGGAACCGTTGGATTTTACCAATCAAACTCGTAGATTTGGCAAAATAGCACCTGCACCAGCCAGGTTTTTGGGATTGCTGTTGGGGTGTCATTGTTGTTTTTAATTTTATGAGATTTTAGCAGCTAAGGAAATGCGGAGCATTTGCTATTTTAGTGTGATGCCAACAAAAAATGATTTTTGAAACATCAACTGTCGGGTCGAATCAATAAACACAGTGGCAGCAAGATGTAAATTTGGGGATTTCACATTTCGCCGTTTGTGACCCGCCATATTTGTGTCCAACCCCTGTGCTGGGTAAAGGGTTCAAAAACTATGACGCGAAAGCCCGCCTTGCCGAGTTCTTTCTTCTTTCTGAAGAGCCTGGGGATGTTCCCGGTCAGCTCTTTGGAATAGGGTTGTGGCAGGGTCCGACGGGTGCTTGAAGGTGGGGATGTTCTCTGTAAGAACACTCGAAAGTTGAGAGGACTGTGGTTTCATGCTGGTTTCTGGCAGATTTTGCTTCACGGATTGCATGATTTGAGAGCAAGGCAGCCGTTCCTCTTGACAAAATTTATTGGCCCGAATGTTTTCAAAATGTCCCGGTGAAAACCATCTTCCATTCCTAAGTTTTGTCTTGTCGCCCTGGTTCTGAACCATGTTGGCATGCCCAGTTTTCAGAAACACCCATCTTACTCATCGTAAGCGGATATACGATGTCATAGGCCACCATCTTTTGAAGGCTCCTTAGAGGCATACACCATCATACACCAACCCCATGCGTTTCTGCCCTGGCATCCTATACCACCGAGGTGCTGCAGCAACGCAGTGATGGCCTCAGTTGGTGTTTCGCAGTTTCAACATGTCTCAACCCAGCACAACCATCACAATCATATCCGTGTCTGAAAATAGTGTACCCCTAAACCCAATGGTTAATGATCACTATCCCTATTAAATGGCTATAATTGGGGGTATACCCCATTTTCAGACATACCCATATGTTTGTTCTGTTCAAGGATCCTTGTCGCAGTGAAACACTGTGAAACAATGTGGATCACCGATGTGAAGGGCGGGTCCCACTGACCGCACTTGTTTTAGAACTCGCCCTTGGCATGGGATGTCCACCTAGCCTAACACCGGAACTTCAAACAATTCACCAGGCGGCCCTTGTCAAAAAGGTTTCGAAATGGGTCGCAGATGATCACCGTCCAACAGACCATTGAGCTCGTCATCGCCGAGGTCGTGAAAGTAGATGATGGCCAGCCCATGCTTGTGGCGTTGGCCACGTAATGCCAGTGATGTTTCCATTCTTAGTGAGTCACCCTTTTTGTTTATCTCGCGAAACGCGAGATCAAGCCGAACGGACTTACATAAGATTAGCTTCCCAATTAAGGGGAGGGTTACAGATGAATGAACATTCTGTGATAGATTCCAATGGAAATTGACACGTGTCATGTGACCTGATGATTGGTAAGTTTTCGCTATGGAAAAGCGGATCTACTTGTCAAAGATGAAACGGGGTCAAGAAATGTTGACATAAACAATGGGAGAGGTCTATGTATTTGCCAAACTCATGTTTTTGTTGCAGTCGATAATTCAAGCTTTGAAGTCGAGCCGTTGAGCCCCGCCAAGGACTACTCTGGTCTGACCAAGGAGGTGCGACTACAGGCTCATGGCCAGTACTGTATCGGCTGGCTGTCAGCTTGGCCACTTGCTTTGCGGCTATTCGCATCGTTGTGATAACCGTTCAGACTGTTCAGCCACTTACAGAAATGGTCATAGCGCCGGAAGGGGTGCTGATATTGCCATGACTTGTGAGCCCGCAGCGGCATATAGAATTCCTTGCTCAATGTCAACACGAGTCTTCAGCATCTTCAACTGTCCAGGATTTGCAAATCTGCATACATCATGCAAGATGATATCCAATGCTATGCTGCCTCTTCACGCCATAGACCGCAGAGAATCCCAAAACGGAAACGCATGGGACATTAAGGTCAGGCGGCATAGCATTGGAATAGTAAATCTTGTTGTGGTATTGACCTCAAGCCCTTGAGGTCAACACTACAACAAGTGTAGTCCTGGCTGGTGCCCTTTTCTTCCTTTTCTTCCTCTTCAGACTCCGACTTCTCCTCTGCCTGGGGCTCCTTTTCGACAGTCTAAGTTAGCGGCTGACTGCTCCCGGCAGTGGCTACATTGGGCGCTGCGAACTTGGCTGGATGGGCTGGTACGTCATTGTGCCAGGTCAAGTCGTTGCAAGTCTTTCTGTGAAGACAGCTTGAGCCAAGAAAAAAATATGTTCATCAGCTGGGATCATGATCATCTCATATAAGGTTGAGAACCCTTCCAAATGAAACAAGCCACGAGATCTTACTTGGATGGCTACGCTGGTAGCAAGTATATACCATAATCAGAAACTGGTGAAGAACCATGCGATTCAGTCTTTTTGAAGAGAGTCTTTCCTGGTTTACGGATGGACTTCTATACAAACAACTGCTACCACAGTGACCCAAGCGCTTCAGACAGCTGTTGTTTCCTCCAGACCTCCACAGTTTTGGACTGAGCCAAGGGCATTTGCCTCCAAGGTTGAATTGGCAAAGGCTTGCCTGAAATGTTGCGCTGATGACACCTGCGCAGCTGACACAGTTGTGTGATTTGAACTGGGTATTGTGGAGGTATATTGGTGAGACCACCATGCCAGGCTATCTATGTCCCATCTGGTTATGACTAACAGTTTGCCATGGAAAGATCCACCCATTTTTAATAGGTAAACCATCTATTTCTATCGGCCATGGCTTCCATGGCTATGTTAAATGACCAGAGGGTACATCTTAGATCATCTTAGGGGCTTAGTTGGGGTACCTGGCGCATAAGCTGCGCACTGTGCATGACTCTTTCGTTCAAGTCTGAAGTCTGCTGCAAGAGACTCAGCTGATTTTGGAGCGCCATACTGGCCATCTTTCTCTCACAGCTTGATACTGGCCTCTTTCTCATATCGAGCACGGTCATCCTGCACAATTGAGACAAGTGGGAAAACAGCAGCTTTCGCTGGAGTATGAGGTCCAAACACGCTGTTTATCCCAAAAATGCAGTGAGAATAGCATCTGGATATATCTGGCGAGATGTCCATGTACCCAAATGAGCAATATTTGGATATATTTGGAATGAAAACCGCAACTTTGGCTTGTCAAATTCGTATCCCTACCTTTGTCGTCCTGTGTCGGCTGAATATCTTGTTCTGTTGATAAATCTTCTCTTTTTCGCTGGTTCAACAGTTCAACAATTACATACTCTCCTGGCACTTGCCGAATATCACCATTTTCGTCGATTCAACATAATATCCAAACGAAAACTGCCTTGATCCCCTTGGTGCTTCGTCCCTCACACTCAGCCGGGCCTGGTCCCCTCTGACCCGCTGAACTTCTGCTGTGAAGTCCTTAGGAAGTGATGTTTTCAAGGCCAAGATGGGGAACCCCTTACCTCCATACGCTGGTGAACATCTCGAAACAGTATCATTGATACCATGATGATACCCTACCAGCCAAATTTGTTGTTGTGGTGTGTTTGAACCGGCTACAGTAAAAAACTGAACTTGTATGAACTTGTCGTCGTTTATCACATTCCCATCGCGTCATTCCAACTGAAATCGATGCCGGAATCCCTTTCACAACAAAAAAAACTGGCTGATCTGTTCATGCTGCGGTCCCACAAGGGGATGTTTACTAGGAACATGGTACAAGTATTAGAATCTACCATCTGGTTATTTAACAGTTCGCTATGGAAAGATCCACCCATTTTTATGAGGTAAACCATCTATTTCTATGGGCAATTTCCCATCTATACCATGGCTATGTTTAAATGACCAGAGGGTAATAACTATCATTAACCATTATCATTCACCATCATTAACCATTATAATCCCATTGTAATCCTATGATAATCCATAGAAATGGCTATGTTAGTCATAACCAGAGACCATGTTGGTACCATCATATTTTCAACCGCTGGATCCACCGATGGATCTACGTTTTGAGTGGCGGACGTTCACGCGTTGTTCACATCCCATGACCTTTCCCTTGGAGCCTTCCTCGGTGCGGCTGAGGGGCTAGGTTAAGGTGCCTAAAACTTGTGGGAAAACCTCAGAAAATTCTCTCAGAATACATATTCCTTATTACCCTCTGGTAATTTGTTACATAGCTATTGAAAATGGCCATAGAAATAGTGGGTTTACCCATTGAACATGGTGATTTTCCATAGTTTTTTGTATGTTTACCAAGAGGGTATTTGATGGCCAAAATATGGAGAAACCCATATTCTTTCAGGCATCCTGCAATGATCTGTGCCCCCGCAACCTGACATGGGCTAAGCAAAGGGCCAAGTCAAGCTCCGCTTGCTCGCGAACCAAGTTGTCTTCGACGTTTTGCAGAAGGGCCAGCTGTAACCGAGCACAGTACCTAGGAAGGCATGGGTCTGTCCACCAAAGCAGAGATCAAAGCACCGATGTCTTTATTGTGTTTCCTTTCACCGCGGGTTTCTTTCGAGAAAAGCCAGTCTTCTGGATTGGATCTGTTGCAGGGAAAACTCTCAACTTTCTCCAAGGTCCAAACAGTTCCTGGCACAGGAATTTGGCATCATGCGCAAAACCTCAGTTTCGCTGGTGCCATTTCTTGTATATCGCCAGGTCCAGCTGCTCCAAATCCAAGCAGATTCAAGTCCTGTACCAAATTGGCGAGGCCACCAGAATCATGAAAATCTACCCGAAATGATCATTTTTGGGACACCACCTGGTTTTTGCCGACAGCCCGTGAGACTGGAACGTTCATGATGAAGCCGTTTCAGCAAGCCCTCGAACTGCAAGGTCCTCGCAGCCAAAGACAATATGGCGCAAAAAATAGGGCAAACAGAAGCACAACTTGTTCATCAAGTTTCGCCAGCCGGCCGACACAGTGTTTGTCTCCAACGAGCATTCAAGCCAGCGAGCCAGGGATTTTGACATCAGGACACAATGGCAACAGGCTGAGAGGCTGGCAACTCTTGCACTCCGGCGCGGAGGGACTTCCTGGCAAGATCGGAAGAGTCTCTCGGAACCATTGACAGAACATCTTATTTGCCAGCTGCAGCTAGGGCAGCGATCAGGACCAAGATCAGCTACACCCAAGAAACGAGACCCATACCATCCGGTTATTTCACAGTTCGCCATGGAAAGATCCACCCATGTTTAAACCATCTATTTCTATGGGCCATCTATACCATGGCTATGTTTGTCATAACCAGAGGGTAACAAAACACCCCCCATCCCCGTGTGCGATCCCTGCGATCCGATCCCTGCGATAAACAAACAAGGCTGCAGGACAACTCCGCCGACAGCTGCTTCTTGTAGGCATCTTGTGCTTCTGCCAAGGCCTGCCATATCAGAAAGATTCAGGCCACAAAGAAAAATCTAATGATGTATATTAGCAGTAATATAGCAGTATAGCACATACCTAAGATCAAAGAAAATCTCAGGTTTTCTCGGGTTATATAGTTATATCATGTTATATCCCTATCATCTGTTGAATCAGTGGTGGATTCGGTTCCATCCCACCAGTTCGGCCTTCTCTTTGGCCTGGTACTCCGTGAAGGCCGCTTTTTGCAGCTCTGTCCTGGCTCTGGCAGTTTGGGATTCCCCAGGATGGTTTGTTGGACTGTAGAAGCATACATCAATGTGGTGGATTTGCCCGGAAGAACTCCACAATGTCTTAGAAAGCGCCTATCTATATCTCCCTGACTCCCCAAGCTTTTTTTGCATCCTAGTCCCACAGCCATTCAAAGCCAATAAAACGGGTCAATCAAAACCCCAGCTGCATCCCCAGCAATGTCCATCAGAATCTCACCAGCTAAGGCAAGGGCATGTCATCCTCTGGGATTTCGTCCATCCAGGCTTCTTTGTCCAGAACGATCTCCAGGGGAGTCAAGTCCTGCCAAGCAGGGAGCAAAAAGGATGATGAGACAAGATAGTGTCATGGAATGATTGCATTCTGGCAAACCACTTCAACTCGATCTCCCCTAAATCATGTAGAGTGCCAGGAACACAGAACAGAAAATGCATTGTTACCTCGTTTTGTATCTGCATTGCTAACTATATGCTGACCTGGTCTGACTCCCTTTAGTGTCCGCATGTGGCCTTCTTGGTCTTCAGTGTGCCACCCATCATCTGTACCTGCAGACAATTCGCTCCAAGGCTGACTGCAACTGCTTGACAGCCAGTCAGGTGGACACATTGAGACGTGCCGAAAACTTTGAACGCCTGTTCCTGCCAAACCATCTAATTTGATGGATACCTTAATAGGTAAAGAAAAAATTTGGAGGCCAGAGCCACATTTCTTCGATTCAAACATCTCTATTTTAATTGAGATTGAGAAGTATATCATGTGTCAACGAGTTTTGACCTGCACCATCCTGCACCCATCCCATCCGGGCACCAGAGCTCTCTGCCCCGCATCGTTCTCTCGCAGCTGCCGCAAGCGTTCCTGCCAGGCTGTATCTTGGTGGCTGAAAATAAGCAACACACATTCTTCAATTGCTAAATGATGTGTAATATGATTAGTAATAACATGTAATAACTATTTAGAAATGATTAGTGATAACCATCTAATTAATTCTCACTACTAATCAGTTCCATTTTTTTCAAATATATCATGCCAGTCTATGGAGAAATGGTTGATACCCCAATCTATAGCCATCAAATAAGGCGAAAATGATGCTTCGCCATGGGATGTAATGGGCTTCCAACGATCACTCCCAGCTTGTTGGGACAGAACCGACAAACACAGGCGGACAATGTGCCATTTGAACCTCAAGTGACCATGGGAATGATCTCCAGCAGCCGTGTTTTCAACTATTTCTTCACTAGTTGGTAATATCTGCAGATCTTACAATCTTTAGTGGGGTCATTTGCTAAACCCTGTGAAATCTGGTTCAGCAGCCTCTTCTTTTGCAGCCGCTTCATCTCTTGCTTTTCTCCTGGCTGAGGCAGAAACCAACTGGATCAGTCTTAACATGGGTGTGTCTGAAAATAGTGTACCCCTAAACCAAATGGTTTTGCTGATCATTATCCCTATTAAATGGCTATTTGTTTGGGAATATACCCAACATTTTCAGACAAACCCACATCCAGTCGGGTTGCGTCTTCACCTTTCCTTATCGGGGTCCCCATGTTGGCGCTTCCACTGCTCAAAGCGCAGTGGCCAATCTCCAGCCCTGGGTCACCCCACTCTTCAGGAGAAATCCACTTCTCCACAGCGATCTCGTGGTCCTACGGGGTGGTAATGATAGAGGTATGAAGGGGATATCAACCAACCAAAACTGGGATAAACGGATAACCCACCCAACACCTCCGGAAACTCCACCCCGGATTGCTGCGTCGGGGTGAACGGGTGAACCTCCCTTGAAAAATAGTTTTCAGTTGGTGATCAGCTTCCATCTATGTGTTGGGTCTATGGAAAGCCAACAACGAAACCATCACCAACTCCTCCAGCGAATTTCATCCAAGGGCTGTCCTGCACCTTGAGGACTGAGTCGCAATCTTCCACCTCCTGGCACACAGGTGGTCACACAGTTTGACTTTGGGGGAGGGCTAAACAGCGCCCAAGAACGTTGGCCTTTCGTGGAGGGAGATCGAACATTCGAACTTCGAACATTCCAACATGTCAGAAATTGTGGAGTTGGCTTTGACACCCATTTGAATCTCTGCTGAATGCTCTAATCCCAAATTCAGGTTTGTGGAGTGTTCAAATATGTTCACGGGGTCCATGTTTGTCATTGGAACAAGCAGCCAGAGCAAATGTCCAGCGGTGGCTCCTGCAGTTTGGGTTCGGGCACCTCCTCTTCAATCTGCAGCTCCTCAGGCCCAAGTGGTGATGCTGGGATGCTGGAAAAACAAATCACCAGGCTGGGGCACAAGCTTGATATAGTGGAGAAACTACCCAAAAATGGAGAGAAACCTTGAACTACTGTACACATCTTGTGGACAATTGGTCTTGATACATTCCCACACTGCTGGGCATATTATCATTGCACTGTATCAATGTCGCATATATATATATATATATATTCACCTATTATATACAGTATTTATATAATTATAATATATATATAATATATATATATATATATTATCAGTATTTATACCAGTATTTGAAGCAGATCTTTCCATCCTAGGTGACCAGTTATGACCCACAAAGCTGAGGCCGAAGGACCCCCAGGATCTGACGGATTCTGCTGCACTTTTCTTTGATACCATCCTTGGTCCACTGGAACGCTACCCCCTTGCAACCTACCACAGATGCAAATATCCCAATCAAAATTCCTTGGGGAATGGTGATCAATGGACGATTTTGTAGGGTTCAATGCTAGTCCAATGAGATCAATGAAATCCTGTTTGGTCACTCCACTTGTTTCACTGGGATGTTTCTTATCCAGCTGGCTATGAATCCCATCAAGGACCAGCTGCCTGCAACTGCTGAGCTCGCAGCGATGATGTTCCTCTTATCACCCTGGCATGCCTGGCAGTGTGCTTCGGGGATTGGGTTTGTGGGTTGCGGGGTGGTGGTTGGGGTTCAAAAGAAAACGTGGTGATGACTTTGGATGTGTCAGCGGAAGCGGTGTCCAGCGCATTTTAAAAGAAATAAAATCAGAGGAGAATCGGCGCTAGGTGCCATGCAAACAGTTGCTTGCAAGTTAAATTTCAACACAGCCACAGACCGTGGGATTCGCAATGGTTTTGACCTGTACTCAGTTTGATGCATTCCCAAGTGTTATGAGGTCAGTTCACTTATACATGGAGTTGGTGCACCCCCCCTGACCTGACTGACTTGCCCAAGTTCCTTCCATATACTGATACTACTCAACATGCCTGAGATTTAAGTAAGACTTGAGGCAAGTGGGGTCATAAATCACAAGTCATAACATGTTAATTACTAGCACATGCCAATGGAAATCCTCATACTGTGGTCTTCTGGTGGTATGCTGCCAGCCTTGAAGAGCTCGTTGAAGTGCATCCGGTAGTCCGCGGACAAGGATTGAAGCAAATGGATCTGGACAGAAGGTCCAACTGGAGGACGTGGAACTGAAGAATCGTAAGTTCTGGAAAAGTTTGGGTAGGCAAATAGAATCAAATAGATAATATATGATAATATGTTAAGATTTGTTTGAAGTCGGAATTGTATTCCTCCAAGTACAGGAGAAGTGATACTCTTTAAAACATCTTGAATGAAATACAAATGTCACGCTCACAAAAATTTCGCCATGAGCCAACTGCTGCTGGTCAGACCATTTGTGGCCTGCAAACGTCTGCGGCTGTTGGTGACCAGCTCAAAGGGTTCGTAGAGATACTTCTGCTCTTCCGCCACAATCTGGGCAGCTGAACAGCCATCCCAGGTACAAACCGATGGGAGTATGTAGCCCAAAAAGTAGGGTTGCAGCCAACAAAAATTGACAAATCAAAATATTCAAACTGACTACACCTATACAGCTGTACTTAGGTGGGACTGAAGTGGGGACAGAACCACATTTGCCCTTTGCGTAGTGCTGCACCACACCAATGTTCAACACAACCTCAAGGTTTTCTCTGGGTGCAAATGAGAAACCGAGTCTGCACTTGTTCCACCTCCATCTTCCATCATCTTCACACCTGCTTGGTGCGGCTACTAACCACTAAGCCCCAATCTCCGATCGTTTGTCCTGCATATCGCCAACTTCCGTATTGGAATGCTGTCCGTCAATACACCGGCAGGGGGGGAACCCATGAGTTTGGGGCCCCACTTCGCCTATCTCTTCACCCTTGTCCTTTTCCTTGCCACCTTTGTCTTTCTCCTGCACAATCTGCACAAGTCAACAAGTCAACAGCTTTGTTTTTGCATCACAGATCTCCACAATTTGCACCACAAAACATGCAATGCAACTGGTGCCTTTTGCTTTTCGGCATCCTCTTTGGCCTGAAACAATCTCGAGGCATTTCATCGGTAAAACGAATCCAGAGATTTCTTCCCTGCCCAATTTCACCCCAACATGCGCGTCACTGAGTCCGTGGCCTTCTTCTCCCTTAGATTAGATGGTCCATCACTTGCCGTGAAAGCAAACAGATTCTGGTGGCATCTTGATACTTAAATGATCATCTCAGTTTGTGGAGGTAGTTCTGGTCAGTAGTTCCTCGATTGAAGAGGTGAATGTCTTTGAAAGTTACTTGACCGGTCAAGTCACGCAACATGGACGTACATTGTCTACATAATGTTCCGTTTTTTCTGGTTCCATCATCCCCATGTTTTCCCTCTATTTTGGGTGGGGTGACAATTTTGGTGCATAGCGTTCGATTCATATTGATACGAGCCTAAACCCAAACATTATATTATATATATATAAATTAATGATAATCCATGAATCATCCATTGATGATCCCCAGTTATACTGGAAACCGTGTTAGAGCCAAGCTGCGCTGCGATTCGCTTCACCTCCGCTTCGGCGTCGGCCAGCTGCTTGGCGCGGGCCGCCGAGGCCTGGATCGTGGCCAGCAAAGGGGAGTGGTTACTGGTGATGGCGGGGGAATTGTCTGGAAGTTTGGGGAATTTCTGATTCTTGTGCTCAACTTATCAATGAGTCTGAGGAAGTTGATACTTACCAATTCACTCATACTTCAGGTAGATTCCCCAACCAGAAATGGCACAGGTGGATGGAGGATGACGGCCAATCACTGGCCAAGAAATGAAGTGGAAGTTGACCGATAGCAATATCAGCAATATGAGTATACGCCCACCAGACAAATCCAGGAAGGTACACTGGTCAAAAATCTCCTGATTCCAACCCATGAGCTTCGCTTGGGCAGCAGCTCCCCATGTTTCGCCATCAGAAGCCAAGGATTGAAATCAACCAGTTCTGTGGAGACACCGAAGCTGTAATATGCACGTCCTGGAGACACCAAAAAATCCATCCCTCAACCGTTTTCATAGCTTAATCAAGCAGGGGTTGGTCACCGGAGCTTTAGCAAAGGCAACTACGTGTCAGCTTCGGGCCCCAGTGACTCACCAAGCCCTCATTTCTGTGAGAGCTTTGGGGAAACTCCTTCAAGCGCTTCACTTCAAGGCATATACAGTAATCAAAAAAGTTTCCCAGGATGAATGATGCCTATCACCAAGCAAACAAATCCAGAAACACTGAGGCAATCCCTTGCTTGAGATCTCCAGCATGCTGGCTCACTTGGCCTAGTGCATCAAGTTTAACAGCAACACCAGGGTGATCCCTGTCCCCATGCAAGGCGCGCTCAATTTTCAAGGACTCATCTAAGAACTGCTTCCCTTGCTTGAGATCTTGAGCCTGCTGGCTCACTTGGCCCAGTGCATGCAGTGTCACTGCAATGTCAGGGTGATTCCTCTTCCCATGCAAGGAGCGCTTCATTTGCAAGGACTCATCTACGAGCTGCTTCGCTTGCTTGAGATCTCCAGCCTGCTGGCTCACTTGGCCTTGTGCATGAAGTGTAGCAGCAACACCAGGGTGATCCCTGTCCCCATGCAAGGAGCGCTGCATTCGCAAGGACTCATCTAAGTGCAGCTTCGCTTGCTGGAGATCTCCAGCCTGCCGGCTCACTTGTCCTAGTACATGCAGTGTCTTGGCAATGTCAAGGTGATCTCTGTCCCCATGCAAGGAGCGCTCCATTTGCAAGGACTCATCTACGAGCTGCTTCACTGGCTTGAGATATTCAGCCTGCTGGCAAACTTCTCCTAGTGCATGCAGTATCGCATGAATGTCATGGTGATCCCTGTCCCCATGCAAGGAGCGCCGCATTCGCAAGGACTCATCTAAGTGCAGCTTCGCTTGCTTGAGATCTCCACCCTGCTGGCTCACTTCTCCTAGTGCATGCAGTGTCACTGCAATGTCAGGGTGATCCCTCTTCCCATGCAAGGAGCGCTGCATTCGCAAGGACTCATCTAAGTGCAGCTTCGCTTGCTCGAGGTCTCCATCCAGCAGGCTGGCTTGGCCTAGTGCATACATTATCGCTCACCGCTCCTAGTGCATGCAGTGTCTTGGCAATGTCAGGGTGATCCCTGTCCCCATGCAAGGAGCGCCGCATTTGCAAGGACTCATGGAAGAGCTGCTTCGCTTGCTTGAAATCTCCAGCATGCTGGCTCACTTGGCCTAGTGCATGAAGTGTAAGGGCAACTCGAGGGTGATCCCTGTCCCCATGTAAGGCGCGCTTCATTCGCAAGGACTCATCTAAGTGCAGCTTCGCTTGCTCGAGGTCTCCATCCAGCAGGCTGGCTTGGCCTAGTGCATACATTATCGCTCACCGCTCCTAGTGCATGCAGTGTCTTGGCAATGTCAGGGTGATCCCTGTCCCCATGCAAGGAGCGCTGCATTTGCAAGGACTCATGGAAGAGCTGCTTCGCTTGCTTGAAATCTCCAGCATGCTGGCTCACTTGGCCTAGTGCATGAAGTGTAAGGGCAACACGAGGGTGATCCCTGTCCCCATGTAAGGCGCGCTTCATTCGCAAGGACTCATCCAAGTGCAGCTTCGCTTGCTCGAGGTCTCCATCCAGCAGACTGGCTTGGCCTAGTGCATGCATTATCGCAGCAATGTCAGGGTGATTCCTGTCCCCATGCAAGGCGCGCTCCATTTGCAAGGACTCATGGAAGAGCTGCTTCGCTTGCTTGAAATCTCCAGCATGCTGGCTCACTTGGCCTAGTGCATGCAGTGTCGCTGCAATGTCAGGGTGATCCCTGTCCCCATGCAGGGAGCGCTTCATTCGCAAGGACTCATCTAAGTGCAGCTTCGCTTGCTGGAGATCTCCAGCCTGCCGGCTCACTTGTCCTAGTACATGCAGTGTCTTGGCAATGTCAAGGTGATCTCTGTCCCCATGCAAGGAGCGCTCCATTTGCAAGGACTCATCTACGAGCTGCTTCACTGGCTTGAGATATTCAGCCTGCTGGCAAACTTCTCCTAGTGCATGCAGTATCGCATCAATGTCATGGTGATCCCTGTCCCCATGTAAGGCGCGCTTCATTCGCAAGGACTCATCTAAGTGCAGCTTCGCTTGCTTGAGATCTCCACCCTGCTGGCTCACTTCTCCTAGTGCATGCAGTGTCACTGCAATGTCAGGGTGATCCCTGTTCCCATGCAAGGAGCGCTTCATTCGCAAGTCCTCATCCAAGTGCTGCTTCGCTTGCTTGAGATCTCCAGCCTGCTGGCTCACTTCTCCTAGTAAATGCAGTGTCCCAGCAATGTTGGGGTGATCCCTGTCCCCATGCAAGGCGCGGCTCATTCGCAAGGACTCATCTAAGTGCAGCTTCCCTTGCTCGAGGTCTCCATCCAGCAGAATCGTTTGGCCTAGTACATGCAGTATTGCAGCAATGTCAGGGTGATCCCTGTCCCCATGCAAGGAGCGCTGCATTTGCAAGGACTCATCTAAGAGCTGCTTCGCTTGCTTGAAATCTCCAGCATGCTGGCTCACTTGGCCTAGTGCATGAAGTGCAAGGGCAACACGAGGGTGATCCCTGTCCCCATGTAAGGCGCGCTTCATTCGCAAGGACTCATCTAAGTGCAGCTTCGCTTGCTCGAGGTCTCCATCCAGCAGGCTGGCTTGGCCTAGTGCATGCATTATCGCAGCAATGTCAGGGTGATTCCTGTCCCCATGCAAGGAGCGCCGCATTTGCAAGGACTCATGGAAGAGCTGCTTCGCTTGCTTGAAATCTCCAGCATGCTGGCTCACTTGGCCTAGTGCATGAAGTGTAAGGGCAACGCGAGGGTGATCCCTGTCCCCATGTAAGGCGCGCTTCATTCGCAAGGACTCATCTAAGTGCAGCTTCCCTTGCTCGAGGTCTCCATCCAGCAGAATCGTTTGGCCTAGTACATGCAGTATTGCAGCAATGTCAGGGTGATCCCTGTCCCCATGCAAGGAGCGCTGCATTTGCAAGGACTCATCTAAGAGCTGCTTCGCTTGCTTGAAATCTCCAGCATGCTGGCTCACTTGGCCCAGTGCATGCAGTGTCAATGCAATGTCAGGGTGATCCCTGCTCCCATGCAAGGAGCGATGCATTTGCAAGGACTCATCTAAGTGCAGCTTCGCTTGCTCGAGGTCTCCATCCAGCAGGCTGGTTTGGCCTAGTGCATGCATTATCGCAGCAATGTCAGGGTGATCCCTGTCCCCATGTAAGGCGCGCTCCATTTGCAAGGACTCATGGAAGAGCTGCTTCGCTTGCTTGAAATCTCCAGCATGCTGGCTCACTTGGCCTAGTGCATGCAGTGTCTGAGCAATGTCAGGGTGATCCCTGTCCCCATGCAAGGAGCGCTCCATTCGCAAGGACTCATCTAAGTGCAGCTTTGCTTGCTCGAGATCTCCATCCACCAAGCTCGCTTCTCCTAGTGCATGCAGTGTCTTGGCAATGCGATGGTGATCCCTGTCCCCATGTAAGGCGCGCTGCATTCGCAAAGACTCATCTAATTGCAGCTTCCCTTGCTCGAGGTCTCCATCCAGCAGGCTCGCTTCTCCTACTGCATGCAGTATCGCAGCAATGTCAGGGTGATCCCTGTCCCCATGCAAGGAGCGCTGCATTTGCAAGGACTCATCTAAGAGCTGCTTCGCTTGCTTGAAATCTCCAGCATGCTGGCTCACTTGGCCCAGTGCATGCAGTGTCAATGCAATGTCAGGGTGATCCCTGCTCCCATGCAAGGAGCGCTGCATTCGCAAAGACTCATCTAATTGCAGCTTCCCTTGCTCGAGGTCTCCATTCAGCAGGCTCGCTTCTCCTAGTACATGCAGTGTCTTGGCAATGTCAGGGTGATCCCTGTCCCCATGCAAGGAGCGCTGCATTCGCAAAGACTCATCTAATTGCAGCTTCCCCTGCTCGAGGTCTCCACTCAGCAGGCTCGCTTCTCCTAGTACATGCAGTGTCTTGGCAATGTCAGGGTGATCCCTGTCCCCATGCAAGGAGCGCTGCATTCGCAAAGACTCATCTAATTGCAGCTTCCCTTGCTCGAGGTCTCCATTCAGCAGGCTCGCTTCTCCTAGTACATGCAGTGTCTTGGCAATGTCAGGGTGATCCCTGTCCCCATGCAAGGAGCGCTGCATTCGCAAGGACTCATCCAAGTGCTGCTTCGCTTGCTTGAGATCTCCAGCCTGCTGGCTCACTTCTCCTAGTGCATGCAGTGTCTCAGCAATGTTGGGGTAGTCTTCATGCCTTCGTGTACTCTGCAACTCCAGAAGATTGTGCTCCAAGGCCTGTAGTTTTGCTTCTGTCTCCCCCCCTGCAACAACTTCAGGAAGGTTGAAAGCCTCAGCGTTCCCTTGTGTCTGCGTTTCTTCTGTCACGCTCCATGTCACTGCTGTGACACTCCGCTCAACAGGGGCCTGCGGGTGAGATTGAGCTGTCGGATGCGTGAAGGCAACTGACTCGGCAGCATCTGGACGCAGCTCCTCAGGGAAAACTTCCACCCGCAGGAATGGCTGCAGCAGCTCCTCAGCTCTGCGACTGGCAAAAAGGATTTGTCCAGAGGCGGCCCTCCAGTTCTGACGCGCAGCTGGGTGTGCTGCGTCCCTGGCACATTCGTAAACCGCCCAGAAAACACCCAGGACATTGTTCAGATCTTCCAGTCTCAGGATCTGGTCAGCCTGGTGCCGGGCCGACTCACGACCATTTACAGGGGACGGACGGGTTTGGAACATTCCCCTAAAATCCCCTAAGCCCCAACTTTGTTCCACCCAATAAAAGCTATAATCATTAATCACTGTTCATTTGAGGAACATAAGTTGTGAGGTTACTGCAAAAGGAGAGGCGGACCCTACCTTGCCTCGTTTTGATCCCTAACACCTAAAGCCTTCAATTTTGATCTACCTCATTTTTGCAGGCAGACCCACCTCGTTTTGCATCTAACTCTGGTGTTAAAACGGAAAGTATGTCCACCATTTTCCATCTGCAAATCAAGCCGTTACCTACGCGACCCTGTCTGAGGTCCTGACCGGCGGCTCTTCTCCAGTTGCAGCGCCAAGCAATCTCAGGATCTCGTTCGCATAGTTGCGAATTTCACACATGTTATCCCACATTTTGGCCCTCTCTTCATCTGGTAGCGCGTGCAAATCTTCAATGCCATCAGGATTCCCATAGGTTGCCATCTCCCTTATGGCCTTGAACTTGTCAACAATCCTGAGTTGCTGAGGACCGGAATTCAGTCACTTGAAACTGGGCCTATTGGGTTGGCCCACATGCGCTTCTCAGCATTTGACTTGCTGTTGCTTGCCTAAACCTTGCCCCCTTGGCTTCATTGCATCAAAAATCAATAGTGGTTTTATATTGCACAGTACAAATAAGACTGTACATTACATCACTTCATCAAGGATCTGTTGGTCGGTGTCGAGCTCAGCCATATCACTGCGTTGCGCTGAGGTTGGCCCCCGATTGCCCAACGAGGGCTGCTATGCCGCAGGGAGCGCGTGACTTGCTGACTGCTCCGATCTGGAGTGGAAGTGTAAATTCTCGGATCATCCAATCCGCCCACTACGGATGCAGAGTTGTAATGTTTATGGTTTACTGCGCTTCAAAGATCTTCAAAGTAGCTATACATTATCTTCAGTATCTTGAATCTTGTGTATGTGCGCTGCTTGTTCCGAACAGAGCCTGCTACTGCGGGATGTGGCAAGAAGGATCTTTTCCAGCACTCGCACTACCGCTATTTGTTCAGAGATTCTGCACCTTTCAAGCCATATGGCATCCTTCGCATGACATGAACAGTGCAAACAACAGGTGCGAAAATTGAACACAACAAGTTCCAGTGCAAAAAGTCAAGTGCAGAACGTGGCTTCGATCCTGTCTGCCTGACCATACCCCAGCACCCTCCCGCCTTGCTATGCGCGCCCGGCCACCAATTCACCACGTACTGTTCTTTGCCTCTCAGAGCCGGCGGTGGTACTACAGTCTCACAGCGAAACGCTACAGCAACAATTGGCCGTTTTCGATCTTTTGTTTGAATCACCATGGGTTTGAAGATAGATGTCCTATCAATCCTGCCCTGTCCACTTTTCTCATCCCCAGGCCCCAGTCGGTTTAGTGTAGCACGCATCCAACAAATGACAACAAAGTTAATTTATACATGAGTGCCATGGTCAAAAGTAGATTGTAGTCATAGTGGATTGCCATCATCCCGCACATCTCTAGTAGAATTTCCTTTCCACACTTTTTTTTGGTCAACTCCCATGAGGGAAGCTCGATCCACAGCCTGAGGCGAAGTGATCCACGTCCAGCACCATGTCTTTCTTCAGTTCCGTGGGACAACTGGAGTCTTTCAGCCTGGGTAGATGCATCCAGCACCGGTCAAGACCGACTGTGAGCAATACCAAGTGTGATTTCTAGTTCTTGTCAGACAAAACATTGTGAAGTTCATGAATCATGACATGATCTGGGGATTTGGACTCCATGGTTTCACCCTGAGGCCTGGGCATTTGGAATTCGAGCTGTTCGCTCTTGCGCAGCATTCGCAGCTTGCGTGTGATGGTGCTTTCCTCCTGGGTGCACAACAGCCGAATAGTCAATTCAAAAATATTCAAAACAACAATTTTCACAAAACTCAACTGCCAGTTATTTCATGTTTCCATTTCCATATCAAACATCATCAAACATATCAAACTATGAAATTCCTTCAACCAGTTCTTCCCAACCTACCCAGTCTCCAGGCCTCACTGACGGTCCGCTCGGGGTAGTTGGACACGGCCAGGGTCGAGGTCAGGGAGGTGATCTGACAGCCCTTGCCGCGCATGGGATCCCAAAACCTCGGTACCATGGGATGGACGGAACCATGCTGGTGGTATGATGGGATATAGCCTCATACTATTTACTGGTAATGGTTTTCAGGATCCTACTAATGGGAAAATCCACTATAATGGATAGTTTGATGGGATAGTTTGATGGGATATTTTCATGGGAATACTAATGAATAGTAATGGATAGTAATGGATATGATGGTAATAATTGATATTCATGGATAGTACCCTCCAGTAAATTAATTTGTTGACCCTGAAAATCACCTAAATTTTTAATGGAAACTAGTCTTCCAACCCCGTTTTCTGCCAGGGTCTATGTTAGTTTACCAGAGGGTACCTGATATCACTATAGCGGATGCGGTTATAAAGTATTTTTGTACAGTCAATAGTCTTTGCTAGAAATTCTAGAATGACCTCAGAATAGAAATGTTGACTCTGTGCAATGGCAACTGGTGCATTGTTTCTCAAATAAGTAATGGACTATGATGGCGTGTTTTTTTGCCACCTTCCAAGCAAAGAATCCTCGTCTTTCAACTTGCTGAGGGCCACACTCTTTGATGAGCCGATCTCGAATCAACTGCCTCACGGGATGAACGTTGCGTCCGTTGACCCCCAATGCCCCTGCTGTTTGTTTGCTGATTTCCTGGCTGTCATTGGTGGCTTCCAAATCTCCATAACTCCAGTTTTTCAAAGACATCATCCACACATGCTTAAGTCCTTCGATCCCAAATTGACTCTGTGCAGATTGGAACTTAGTTCCAGTAAATAAAGCCATGAAGGATATGTAAAACCACGTAAAGACCATTGGTATTTTCTCTGAAATCAACCATCTGTGGATCTCTTCAGAGCTACAGCCCCCGTTGTCGGCCTGGCTACGTTCTGGTGCTCGATCTCCGCCCGCAGGGCGTCGCAGCGCTCCTCCCAGGAGAGTTGGTTCGAGGATCTCATGGGAACAGTCGTGGAACATTCGCCCTGAAATCTTTGGGTCTAAAATTGCTGATTCAAAAAAAAAACTGGAGGTGGAGCTGAGGCACTCATCCCAATAACATCAGCTTGTGTCTGGGTATGGAAGGGCACGAAGTGTTTGAACCTCGGCTTCCCATTCTTGTTGCTTGAAATCCATGTTTTTGTTGGTGACATCCTCTTGAATCATCCATCCCCGGGGATTTTATGGGATTGTATGTAACATCCCAGCAACTTCAATAGCTTTACTGGAGGTCAAACCATTCATCCCCAAGTCCCCAAGTCGCCGCTGTCAGTCCTTGGACTTGGCTCCAATGGCGTCGCGTTCCTCGAAGTCCACGCAGAACTCCGAGCGATCCAACCTTCGCTGCTTGGGGCAATGGGAATATCAACCAGCAAAAATAAGATCATCGATGTAATCTGCCATGGGATCATCTATGAATTGAACTAATTGTGGAGTATCTATGAACTATAGGATAACTATAACTATATATATTATATATAACTATATATACTCTGTGAAGTCATATAGTTATTATAGAACCATCTATGAACTGAACTATTGTGGAAGCAACTGGGTGAGGAAGCGGTTTGTAACCTATAGTGACTACTTAATTTTCTAGGAGTAGGATCCATTAGGATTATACTCCAGTTAAACTGCATTTGGCTTGTGGCTTGGGGGTGGCCATCGGAAAACTCAGCTGCGAGCTTTTCCAAATCCGGCGCGTTGCTGTTGTGATCGACGAGGATGCGCAGCTTCTTTCGCAAGGCTTCGATCTGCCGCAGCGTGAAGCGTGGGTCACTGGGGTGGTGGGAAAACCTGCAGGAAACCATGGATTTACCATGGACTTGCAATGGACTTACCTATCAAATATGGGGCTTTCGTGTAAATGTCCCATCATTAAAAACACAAAAATTGTGAGTTGAAAAAATGGCAGCACCTCATGAGTCATCAGCTTTCGCTTGGCCGCAGCTTCTTCCTGAGATTGCCCACCAGCTTAGACCGGAAGCTCAAGCTTAGAAGAAACAGCCAATTGGGGGATGATCAAAAGACGCAAATGGAAAGTCATTGGATTTGGTTTATGGATGTTTAATGGTGTTGGATTGATCCATTGATCAGGCATCGTTGCGTTTAGGAAACAAATCCTTCAATTCAGGAAAGAAGTAATATAATATAATATAGGGGGACGTAAAATTGTCGCACATACCCAAAAGAGCCAAAATATACACGTGTCACACCCTTCCAGTTGATTCAATTCAAATGTGACAGAGAGCCAAATGTCAAGCTCCACTGAGTGCTGGGCCGAAAGCTCCACTTCCTGCCAAGTAAGATATATGCAAAATATGCATCCATCGCGAGTACCTCCTCTGATGGTTAAAATTCCAGAGAGATGTCACAAGGATTGATAAGGTAGGTGATATTCTTGTTGAAGCAGCATAAAGCTGATCATACCTCTAGAGTTTTCACATGGAATCCCATAGCGGCCATATCCCACCAACAAAAATCATCTGTCCTCGTCATCGCCCTTCGCGGCATCAGCACCTGGCTGCCAACACGTTTGAACCACCTGGCCCTCTGGGAATCTAACATCGCAATCCCAATGTTTGATGGGAAAGATATGGAATAATCATCTAGAAATGCCTGTGGTGTCACAACCCCAAGTGGCCCTGGCCATCGAACCCATTTCGCAGTTTCAGTGTTTGTCTCGCAACTTTTCAGTGGCAGTTGGCTTTCTGTCACAGGTAGCCACAAAGTCATTACGCGTCCTCAGGAATTGCGCTCATATCTGCACTAGAAAACCTATCGGTTAATGGGCTGTGACGGGCTATCCCGCCTGCCGCAGGTGGAACCCAAGCAGGAAAAGCATTGACATCAGTGTCATCCAACCTGGCAAAGGGTAGCCATACTGTGATTTCACTCCATTTGTTCGCAAATTGTGGAGGATTGGTAAAAGTTCAGGCCCCAAATCAAAATCATGATTCTTTCACCAATCGTACGATTCATAACCCAATGGTTCATATATGTTTCCAGTGGTCAATATTACCCCGAGCTGCCACAACCTGCAACCTGTGCCAGCCCCACTCAAAGGCAAACTGCGCCGCAGTCTCATCACCGAATGCTTCATCCTGTTGGAAGAGGGTGGTTCAGGCGGGGCTATCAGTCATCTCCATAGATTGATTCAAGGGCAAACCCCTGCAGGGCACCATGTTTTTCACGTGTTTTCATGTTTTCTGCAAGTATCAGTATGGCAATTTCGGGATTTCGATGGATTTCGGGTATCCTGAATCATTCAGTTGCACTCGCAAGCCCACAAACACTACTGGGTTATCCTCAACACGCAACCCAACACCACCATCATTCAACCGTTTTTTGTGGCTCTGAGGCTGATGCATCTTGACCCTTGAGATGAGAATCGTCCTGAGGGCGGTCATGGCTGGTCATCCAAGTGCTGTTCATCGTCTTTGCATGGAACTTCATGGAGGAACGCCTGATGAGAAGGGGAAAATGCCAACACCCAGGTCACATGTCCCAAACTCACAACTCTCAGCAGCTGGCAGGAGCCACGGTGATTTCAGATCCAGGTTCGCTCCACACCAAGATCCCATCCTTAGAGCGACCAGTTGAGACGATTCCCAAGTTGTGGACCCTGGAAATTTGCAAATCATTCAATGGGATCCATGGACGAAAACAGCAGCCAATCTGTGGCTGAAGGATTCTTGAAGCTTGACATGCACACATAACTTCCGAAATGGATTCCAGGGAAGGTCCATTTCAAGTGCGGAAAAACAAGTGGGGTTCCAGTTCACCCTGAGCGGGAAGGTAGAACATAAGGATGACTTTCAAGTCTGACATAGAATTGCACATTTCTAGTGTGGCCCCAAGGTCCGTCCTAAAAGTGCAAAGCGATGACACTTTTAATGTTACATGAAAGGCGTTCCAGGGTCCGACCAAAAAAGGATTCGGATATTGCAAGCATCTAAGTTTCCAGCTGCAAGAGATAAGGTGCCAGCTACCCAGCCACCATTAATTAAACACTGACAGCTTGTTCACTGGGCAACCCCTGCTGCGCCACCAGTGCTCATGGCCACAGTACCTCAGGTCTGTAGATGTTATGATTCACCCAAAGGAACCCCAAAATATGGCCATGGGTTGGGTTCTGTGTTGAAGTTAAGGGGTTCTAAGATGTGGCAACTCGGGTACAGTAACAGCCGGTTTGGTTCAAACGAAATTACTATATGGGTGTTTAAGAATTGGGTACCCCAAAGGCGCTGGTTTCTCATCACGATTTCTGTTTGAATTGCAGTTTTGGGTATCCCCACTCTACTTGAATGAGACAACCCTCCAATCAGTTTCTGTATCCCAGCAGCTTAGATTTTGACCCAAAGATTGTTGGTCAACTCCCCATGACCCGCCAGAGCTGAGGGTGAGGCTGTCTCGGCTGCAGACGACCTGCAAGAGGTTGCCCGCACACCATCCCTGTTCCCAGCTCTGAGTCCTTTGACTTTGATTAGAATTGTCACTGCATTTTACCAAACAGGCATAAACTCAAACTTATAATTTGGATTGCTGAAATAGAAGAAATGCCCAACATCATACCAACATCATCCCATATCGATCCCAGATTTGATCCACAACCGAGTGACGCAGCTATCGTCTACAAAGTTGACCAAGTTCCCTGCCTGTGCTGTTCCACCGTTGTAGGGACTGTGAAGCGTCTTGCACATCAGTTCCTCCCCCTCAGTGAAGCCATTTCATTGAGGCATTTAAGAAGAGCACACACAAAAAAAATACTGCTGGGCAAGAAGCACCAGCAGCTGAGAACAAAAGCACGTCAACCACTAAAAGTGAAAATTGCGCGCCCAAAACAACTGGCATCACAGTAGACAAAGTCTTCTCAACCGGTGCAAAGAGGTAACGCGCGCAGCCACCCTCCTCCGCTGTATGCTGAGTTCATGACATTGGGAAGGCCTTAGAGATACAACGCTGGGAAGATGCTACAACTCATTGGACCTATTGCGATTTGAATGTCAGATGTTTGATACCCAAAGAATTGCCTTCTGAGACGCTAAGCTCTCTGACACATGGGACACATGGAGTGTCAGTGTCATGGAGATTAAGATATGTAGGTGGTGCAAAGAGGATAGACTCATGGAGAATCATTCTTTCCTTGTTGTTAGAGGGCCTCTTTCCTGGCAAATGCTGGAGGATCAGCTGGCTGTCGGCCATCTTTAAGGCTCGGACTCAGCTTCAGAACGGAGCCATCCTCAGTGGGGACGTTGGTTCCCCTCCCAAAAAACGCCGGAGCAGGGCTTGAACTAAGAGAGGTTGAGGATCCTCTTGGGACAGGCCAGGCCGCAGCAATTGGTACCCAAACCTGCTAGTGATTTGCTATACTATATACCCTCTGGTAAATTAACATAGACCCTGGCAGATAGGGGTTGGAAGACTAGTTTCCATTAAAAATAGGTGACTTTCAGGGTCTATGTTAATTTACTGGAGGGTAATAGTATATATATATATACTATAGTATCTACTGATGGGCCATTTCTGCAGGGAAAGTTGAATCATGCGGCCATTCCCAAGATCAGCAACCAGATCTCCAGGACACGCTGAGAGCAACACCATACATCCGACCATCAAGATGGTACAGCTGGCATTGGTCCTCAGGTGTACATGGAGAAAGTTGTGTCTCATTCCTAAAATGGAGCATCTTTCATGTCTTTCATTTCATGGACAAATTCTGAGCTTCAAACAACGTTTGCGAAGCAAAAGAGCTGGTGTGATCATTGAGACTTCTTGAAAACGAATAAAGTCAACTATCCTTTTTCCCATTCTTTTTCGTGGAAGGCTATCCAACATTTCCCGCCTGACAGATCTAAGTGCCCCACTGGAGGCTATTCACCAAATGATGGGCTCCAGCAGGGACCAGACCTCAAGCGGCAGATTGGAGGTCTGGAGGGATCTGCTCCCACTCATGACGTCCTTTAACTGAGGTCTGCGGATAATCTTGGTTAGGAGCTACGGGCAGTTCTCGCAAATGTCCTTGATTTTGGGGGGAGTGTTTGAAACCTTTCACAGCCTTTCACCCAAACGCTTGGCGGCAGATTGCGCACACACCCAGAGATGATCTTCTCCCCCCCGCAATGATCACATCCCGCAAGTGACCCCCATGGTTGAAGAACACCCAGGGGCTTTCTGTATAAAGGTTGGCTCAAGACATCCCAGTGCACTTCACTTGGCAAGCCACTCTTCATTGGAGTGGCAGCTGGCGACTTCACCATGAGCCCTGGCTGAGTGGGCCTCAGCTCTAGCAGCTTCCGGTCCGATGAATCTGGCCCCAAACTCCTGGCTGACTCGACCCAAGAAGGTTCAACAAGAAAGTGCTATGGCTGCTATGAATGATGCTTCTCAACCAGTGATCACTCAATGTCACCACATTGCCACCACCAAAAGATGGTGGTCCTTGCTACCTGAGACCCTGACGTTGCATAAATGCAAACCTCATCAAGGTGCAGTTGCTGGAGCAGCTGAGCATCTTACTTCGCGCCCAAAAATGTGGGATGCCCCTAAAATCCTATCACTAAAGATCTAATGATCAGTCTCCCCACCAAAAAATATCAACTTTTGGACAAACCCGCAGATGCCCTATTTGGGTTTGTCTGAAAATAGGGTATATTCCCAATGAAATAGCCATTTAATAGGGATAATGATCATTAACCATTGGGTTTAGGGCTACACAACATTTTCAAACACACCCATTTCACCGTGATAAATTCACCATTCTCAGCATCGATCAACCTGAGACACCCTGCAGCGCCACTGGCAAATCCAACGACAGCTTGGGTCCTGTCATGTCATGCCTTGATATCGGGTTCCCTTGCCAGTCACCAGGCATGTAGGTCAACATTTGAGAAAGTCTGGAACTCACAGCTGTTGCCCATCTTTACCTGGTTGGTGGGTTTCAACCCCTCTGAAAAATATGAAAGTCAGCTGGGATTATTATATTCCCAATATATGGAAAAATAAAATTCATGTTCCAAACCACCAACCAGTTACTGTTTCCCATCGGATTTGGGCCATCCCACCATCCCCATCCCATCCCTCAAATCACACGCCGGCCCCACTTGGACAACGAGCACACCGCAGTGGGCCGGTTCTCAGAGGTGTCCCCCGCCAGCTTCTGCGACCAGAAGCCCATGGCCTGTGGTATCTCATCAGCCACATTGTGGATTCAACTATATATTGCAATAGGGTTTTTCACCCAGAAATATCATGGGAAATTGGTTTGTCAAGTTCATTCAGATTTCTTTTCTGGATGATACGAATCATGTATATAAACTACATCGCCATTGTTGTCATCTACATCGCCGTGACTCTTGGCAACACCCCCATTCCCAGGGGAACCCCCAAAAAGAGAATCCTTTCTCCCTAATTTCCAATACCCCACAAGCCACAGAAGCCCCGGTACTCGAAATGCAGGGGATTTATTTATTTGGGCTCCTTCTTGGGGGATGTTCATATAATAGGAGACTCAATTGTATTATATAACTAGTTGTAGAAGCCCCGCGGTTGCTTCAAAAGACCCTGGTTTTCCTATGAAAATTCCTGCAAATGATCGCCTCTCGGTGGATCACCAGGTCACGGGGTTCAAAGCTGTCTTTGGGCCTGTCATCACATGATTTCCCAGCATGTGGGACAGACCTATCCCATGCAGGGGTCCCCAAACAACAAAATAGTGATGGAAGAGTTGAAAACTGGAAAAAAAATGTGGAAACTACCTTAGACTTAGACATGATCCTTTGAAAACATTAATGAATCACAGGGGAAATTCTTCTCTCACTGGAACTCTAAGCGTTTCTGTTGGCTTTGACCCCACGGGAGAGATCAACCCCGGCGTCATTACGACATCTGCGGAGCTGTGGTGGTTTAACCAGGCCGGCAGTACGATCTCACAGTCCACAAGCAGGATGCCTCAAGTAAATGTGACAGGTCACTAGCATGCACTAGCTGCACTTGGATGATCCCATGTGCAAATATCATCATGAACTACTGGGACACCAGTTTCTATTGGGGATCTCACTATTCTCATCAATCTTGGTGATCTAGTGGCGATACCATTCGGACCAGCTGTCATTCTTGTTCTCATGTTCCCCTGATGGGGTAAACCTACCAATTAAACCATCCCAAAATTTGCCAGATATGACTTTTACAAACCATCCCGATTGGTGGTTTACTCTTGGGTGTACTGGACGAAATTCTTCTCGTCAGGCTCACCCATGTGCCCTGCAAAATAGTAAAATAGCTAGGTGTCTTGTCATATTGCCCCCATTTGTGGCAAAGACTAAATAGTTTAATAGTATTGAACTATATATTATTGAATATATGCGTTTAAACCGACTAGAATGTATTAAGCTACCTACTGCACCCGGTCGGTTCAACCATTACCATCCATTACCCACTGACTTCGTATCCCCATTTTTGCCTCGGCCGTGCAGCCGACCGCCAGCAGCTTTGGGGGCATGTTCAGCTCCTCAGTCTTTTCCTGCGCGATATGAGCCGCGGAAGTTGTTTGGTACAAAACGCAATTGACGGGGTGTTCCTACCTTGTTCTCCAGTCCCGTCACGTTTTTTGGGGTCTGACCTCGCTCTCCAATGCGGCACGTCTTTTTTTCATGGCTAAATGACTGATGCTAAATGTTTTACGTCTGATGCCTAGACTTTCTCGGGGTGTTCCTACCTCGTTTTATAGCCTAATTATGATGTTTTCGACAAACCGGGGTACGCCATCCTATTCTCCATTCAACCAAATACAAGCCTTCGCTCATATGTTTGGGGTCATGCATTTTGCCTGGCAAAATAATTTAATTGCCAGCCAAAGTGCTTAAATCAGGAAAACCCTGTGAGTCCCATTGGGAGGTTGAAAATGTTGAAAACAACGAACTGCTACAAACCAGCGATAAAAACTAGTAAGAAAATTGGTGGGTCATCCAGGGGTTAGATCGTTTTACACAGGAACAAACAGGGGGTTCAACACCAACAATTGGGACTGACACCGCGTAGGTTGACGTTTCAACCAGCGAAAGTGGGGGTTGGTAGGAATAGATCCAATCAAAATAGATACCCTCTGGTAAACTAACATAGCTATTGAAAATGACCATAGAAATAGTGGATTTTACCATTAAAAATGGTGATTTTCCATAGTTTTTTGTATGTTTACCAGAGGGTAAAGAAGGTAATCATCAACAACACAAGGACAGGGCTCAACAAACAGGAGGCGATGGAACGATGTGATAGACGCTGGTTTTTTGGAGGCTGGAAGTTATAGCAGAGCTGGATGTCCGTGATTCTACTGCAATGTGGGAAAAGGGAACGAGCCTTGCCTAACCTCCGTGGCACTTCGAATCATCCCAGGAATACTACTTGCTTGTACACTACCAGTGGGCTAATCCATGCCAATCCCCAAAATGGAAAGTTGAAAATTCACAAATAGGATGGGAAAGAGCTCCAAATTAACCGGCAAAGGTGTCCGCAAGAAGCTGGTTCACCATTCTACATCATCCATCGACTTTGGGAGCTTTGGTGGGGATTTCACACGTAGCTGGTTGTCTCTACCGCTGTCACACAGCACTAAAGTCAAAGGCGGGGAAAAAAAAAAAAAACACTTTGGGAGCCTGCTCATGCCAGCAGATGTCTTCCACCATCCCCAGATTTTCGGTGAGCCCCAGCATTTTGACCTCAGCCCATCATCTGAGGCTCCAATGAAGCCACCATATGGCCTTCCGGCCCTGATCTTTAGGCATGCTTATCTGTTTGGTGACATCCATTTATCTTTTGATATCTTTTGGACACCATGGTGAGAAAGCCCTTAAGCTCCAAGCTTTCGGTTCGCGAAGAGAAAAGGATGCCATAGCTATCCTGAGGCAGCAATAGCATCTGGTTGTCCGTCCAAAAGGGCTCACCAGAACCCTGTGACTATGCTGCAGACAGCTTGGTTTGTCCCACAACACTTAAAAGAACACACCCATCGTCTGGCAAACCAGTCCAGAAGTGGATCAGATTCTGATCAGATTGTTTTTAATTCGATGTTCACTTGAACAACTTTGGGGTAGTTAGTTCTGACCCACAACTGAAAAGGGCACAGGTAGAGTGCAATGACGTGGGAAGCGCCTGCCGTCGAACAACAAAGCAGCCACCTTCAAGGATAATCCGTCCTGCAGAGCTGGAGGGGAGCGAAAACCCAATCGGCTGCCCAACGACCACTGATCTGAATCTGGCGAAAATCACAACAAATCATGCAGGTATGATAGGGAAAAATGAGATTTGAACATGTTTAAACCACTTAAAACCCGATGGATTTAGGGGTTTCCTAGGGTTTCATCTGGTTTCCTATCAATTTTCAGACTTCTCCATGTTGGATGATGGATGGTGGCGTCGTCCTCGGAGCCAGTGCAGCACAGCTTTGCAATGCCAACTTCGCTAATTCGATTTGTGTCGACCACCTACGCCAGGTCAATGGCAGATGGAGGGGGAACACTTTCATGCCAGGTCTAAATCATGAACATTGAAGGAAAATATAGGAAAATTACAAATTAATTATTGCAATAAAATCTGTTCGGGGATGGCTTCCCTGTCCTAACCAGATGGGTTTGTAGGTTCCATCAGTTCCATCTTTCATCACATCCCCACCTCTGCATCTGGCCACGGATCCACAGCCACTGCATGAATGCAGCCAGAATCGGTACCTGGAACACCACAAGTGGTTGGAATTGTGGAAACACTGAAGATCATCAACACCTACTGCAGCAGAAGAAGCAGGATCGTGATGATATTATACTATAATACTATAGTATATCTTAATAGAGTATTTACTATATAATATTCATTATCATAAAATTATGATCATGATAGCAGCAGGACTCCCGCAGTTCCACCATGCCCACCTGCCAGGAGGAACTTCCCTCGCGCTTCCACAGCCAGGCTGGTGACCGCCGAGGTGAAGCGCAGCAGTTTGAAGCCCTTGGCGTCTTCGCCGCGAACCACCTGGCCGCAGGGCTAGGACTTCCCCAAAGGGAGAAAGTTGGGGGAGGTGGGTTCAAAATAGGAGAGACGCCCAAAAACGAATTGCAAAATAGTTGGGAAAGGCAATGTCCAATTTAATTTTTGGGGCTCATGGTCGAGGCGCCAAAAAAGCTTGAACCGCAGCCATCCCAATCGCTGCCTGCCACAGCCGTAGGCGACCACCTTCGTCTGCACTAGCACAGACCTACCCGCGCCGGGTTTTTGGTGGTCTGGGTTGATATTCAGCCTCCGGTTAATGGAGGGTTTTTTTAACCAAAACCCACTAGTAAGGCCACCTTTGGGGGTTGGATAAATCCCTATGAAACTTGGGGCCTTGAAGATGCCATCTTTGTTTCTTGGTCTTCATAACTCCAGTTTACGAGCTGTACTTGGCCACATGTCCTATGATCAAAACATGTGGTGGCATGGTGGATGGTCGGGTATGGTAATCCAACAATATATTGGACTACTGGAGACTGCTCCTAGTATCTTAGTAGGTCCATACACCACTACATGACCCTCGTGCCCGGGTTGTGCCTGCAGCCCGGAACCGATGGGGCAAAGAGCCGTCACTGTGTGCGTATGGAACCAACACAACAGGGACATCTGCCTGGCCGTAACCAACCAGGGAAGGGGACAGAACATGCACAATGACAGTAGCTCATGCCGGCTCAAAACCATTCAAAACCATTGACCCCCAAAAAAATGATATATAGATAGTCTGACATGATCAAAATTGTGTCACTAACCTGGTGAATTGTCAAGAAACACCATAACGGTTGGAAGGCGAACAAGCACAGTGACCCACTGACCGACCACTCACGCTGCAGAATTCCATGCAAGCAGTACAACTGGTCGGCACGCACGTACATGTCATCCTGCAAGGCTCCGGAGAGGGCAGCAGTTTAACAAAGGCAGCAGTACAACATGGGTAATTCTAAAATTCAGGATGGTCAGGATGGCAAATTCCAAAAATCCATGGTGTTTCGCCCAGGGTTTCAGGGGTTGGAATCTCCCTGCCACACTTTTGGATCTCATGTCCTGAGCAAATTCATCCTCCTCTTCACGCACTTCCCTGGCAGGGTCAGGGGTTGTTCAATGCTTGGAGCAACAACCCGCCGGACCGGAAACCGTGCTCATCGGCGTGCACATTGTGTCCAAAAATGGTGATTTTACCACAGTGCCGTGCTGATTTGACGATTTGGAAAACCTGGAAAAATTTGAGGCGCGTTTTTTGGCTTTTCACCGTCATCGCTGCAACGCATGTCACGTAGCAACAACACCAGAGATCTCTGCAGCGTGGCAACAAGTAACGCAGCAACGATCCCAGAGATCTCTGCAGCGTAGCAAACTATAATTAATGTACGAAGTACAAGGAACGTTGACATGCCCCCCCCCACCCCACCCCAAAAACGTGCTTTACGAGCACGGTTTTCGGTCCGCAGGCAGCCACAACTAGGTATCAGATCATGAGGCCCTACTAGGCATAGAAACATCTATGGTATCGAAACCAATAGGTTTATCATGGTTTATGCAAGTTTCATCATTAAAAAGCCAAATAAACCATGGATTATCATGGTTTTAATGGCTGCTATCATGGTTTAAAGCCAAGGTCTGCCAGGAGTGCTGCTTCCCGGGCAGTTTCATCGTCCAAACTTCGCCCTCTGCGGTAGTGAGGACCTGGCAGCGATGTTTGTCGATGTTGTTCCCATTCCCATCGTGCCCCTTCCCTTGTTTCTGACTATCATAATTCATAATCATGTGTGTATATACATATATATACATATATTATACTAATTATATCATTATATATGTAGTGAAAAATCATGGAAAACCGATCGCAAAAGGCCGCAACTTAGGGGTATTGCTTTGAGCGCCCCACAGCATCAGTGCCGGATGAGGTGGCTTGGATAGAAGCCACCTGCGGTTGTGGCTTGAGAGCCCCCTCCCTTCTGGAGGGGATGGTCCTGGGTTTTATTCCATGAAGAAAAATGGTGGATATCTTAAGGTCAGGATCCCAATATAACTGGGGGATCCAAAACATTGATATCTGAGGCAGATGTGAAATAAACCAACTTTGTGACATGCAACGAAAAATGGGGCAGCGACAAAGTGACAGTCAAGCTGCATCCCGAAAGAGCTCCCCAAAAGTCCGCCGCAAATCGCCGTCGTTTCATCAGGACAAGCCACTGATGGCAAGTGTTGAAAAGCGCCCGATACCAAACCCAAAAATGCCTATGGCTCAAAACCCTGGTACCCATGGGTTCCACAAAGTGCAGAGAATAGTTTTGGTTTGGGGTTATTCAGTATTCATTGCCCCAATTTCATTTCCATCCCGGAATGGGTATGGAGAATGCCCAGCCTGGCCCAGCAATCGATGCCCCAAGGGCTGGCTTTCGCCTACACTCTCCAGGTCAGCCACCTGCCCACGGAGACCATCGGTGTTGGATGGCAGGGTCTTTCAACATCAGTGGATCTAAGTTGGATAAATGTCAGAAAACGTCAGGCAAATTCACACATGGCTACGCAACATGGTCCATTTATTAAAACTATAGATGATTTACCTATTGAAATGTGTGTTGTTCCATGTTTTTCCATAGCTATGTTAGATTATTAGAGGTAAATGTCACCCCACCCTGCTGCCTTCTTGAGCTGGAACATACCTGTGGAGAGAGCCATCTGCGGCCTGAAAAATCACTTTCAAGATCGATTCGGTTGGAAATTTGGTTGGGAAAATGGGAAACCCAGTAAAAACATGGGGATTAAACATGGGAAACCCAGTAAAAACATAGGGAAAATGATCGGAAAATTGTTCTTCCCCAGTTTGGACATGGATTTGATGCTGCTCTCTGCTTTTTTGTTTCCCAAGTTCAAGTGGGCTTGCCTCAGGGGATTCAACCGGTCCTTTGAAACCTGTCAGAGATCGGACAGTTAAGGTCCATCTCTGGATAGTAAAACCCCAATATCCGGAGACTAGGTGTTCTCCTGATAAAATTTCAACATCCCACCTTCAAATAGCATGAAAATCGATCACATCCGAAATTTCTTCAATTTTGCCAGCCAGAACCATGTTTCCCAATCACTTCCCGAAGTTTTTCCATCATTTTCCCTAGGTTTTTCCGTGATTTTCCACCCATTTTCCCATCCCAACCCCCCTTCGAAACCAACTGCGCCGGGCGGGCGCCAAGGCCATGCCGGCCGCGAAGCTGGCCACGTCCTCGGCGGTGACCTTGGCCAAAGCCTGGCAGCTGTGGGGGATTTGGGGATGTTGATTTTTCAAAGAGGTGAGGCCAAGTTGTTAAATAGTTTATTGGTGATAAATTGATAATGATAAATAATATTTATCATGATGATGATGATGATGATGATGATGATAAGAATAGACCTTAATTATGGGTGATGGTGAGAGCTTTGAATTGTTGGTGATTTCATCATTAAGCATCGATGAATATCGATTGTTTTACTTCCTTGTCGGTGTGTTTTTGATTTTTCTTGGTTAATCAACCATGTTTGATGGTTTGTAGATGTATTTCACCAACAAAAATGGGTGGTACCATCAAAAACTGGTGTTACCTTCCACAAAATGTTTAATATTCTGGCTAGATTTGTATTCTCCCAATAGATGTAGATTGATGTAGATGGATATTGTTCGGGAAACCAATGATCATTGCAATTGGGGGGACCACGTGTTCACACAGTGATCATTATAGGCAGTTCTACTACCTAGACTATTGGGGGGGGTTATTATAAATTATAACCCATATTGGGAAACCTATCCACCAACTAGTATACTGAGTATACTGAGATGGGATAGGGGTATTTTTTTTATGGCTCATATTTCCATTGCTTCCATCCACTGCACGGATTTCTCAAAGGCCTGCGGCTGAAGCTCCCAGAAATTCAGGGTGTTTCCAATGTGCGATGTGATGAGATAATCTGGCGTCCTGGGATGAAAATGGAACGTCTCTCAGATGTTTTTGTTTGAGAAAGACTCCTTCAAAAATCCTTCTCAGACATATGCATGTATACTTACTGATACAAATTTGATAGCCCGAAATGTTGGTTGTTACGTTGTGCTTCGTGATTAGGGTGTCGATCAACTCATTAGTTTCGGCAAAAAAATGGATGGCCCAGATCAATCCGGAAGGGGATGGGTGACTGGGTTGGTTTGAAGCAACCTGTATAAATATGTTACATTACAGGAAACACGCCACCGTTCAAACATCCTGCATTTTCTTCCCAAGGCTATCACGCTCTAAACTCTAAATACCCCAGTCTATCCTTTTCTAGTTCACATCCCCATTCTCAATGGTTGAAACTCCCCCATGTTTCATGGTTTCCTGCAAAGCAAATCTTCCCTTGAGCCAAGTTGCAGAGTGATGCTGGTGATAGGCTGCTCTGCCTGACAAATGTACCTCAGCTCGAAGTGGGGTACGGTGCGTGACGGAGCTTATGGGAATCTAAGAAACGAAGACATCCAAGACATGGTGGGAACATGTGGAAGATTGGGCCATGAAACAGTTGATATGGCCAACTTAAAAAAATATTGAGATTGGAATGTGTTCTGTGTTCAGACACCATAAAAAATTGAACCATAGAAATGGGGATCTCAACAATGAAGTGATCCACACCATCTTCCAAGATCTTCCCAAACTTTCTGGAAATATTTACAGGAATCCCATTGGAATCCCATTGGTCCAGCTGAGGCGCAGCAAGGCTCCGGTGGCCCCATCCAAGGTGCACAGCATGCCCTGCCGGGTGGCCACCAAGAAGTGCCTCGGAGGCCATTTTTGGGGGCGAGACAAGATGGTGTACATGCAAGAAATCACTGGGAGGTCGCTGGCAAAACATGATGTTTATATGTTATATAATATTGTATGAAGAGGGTTAAAGGTAAAGTGTCTGTAAGTGTTGGCAAATGTGTGAGAGAAAATCACCAAAATTGATCCATTCCATACATTGACGAAGGAAAATATGACTATGGATCAAAACCGTGGCAGCCTGGTCTGGATAGCTGGCGCTCATGGATGAATGATCCCATAGTTTTCTTGCCAAAACCCCAGCATGAAGTCATTAAACCGGGGTTCGCATATCCCCATAGCATGAACATCAACCACTAGCTGGTGTTTCCAATCCTCATTAAGTTGTTTTGGACCCTCACTCCGTTTTCGGACAGGAAAAGTAAGACGGACTTGAAACCACCAACTAGCTATAGAGTAATTCCATGATGAACTAGTAACGGTGACGCCTCCAGTGCTTGCTTGGTACAGGAATTATCAATCCCCTGATCAGAGTCTTTATAAGGGGCACACTGGAAATCAAACGACTATTTCCAACCCATCAAGACATCTATTATCAATCGAATTTTCCCATTGATAAAGAATTTTCCCATTAAGACATCTATTTCCAGGGTATTTCCCAGCCCCCAGTGATTTCCTCATCCCAAAAGATGCCCCAACTCAGCTCCAGACCCTGCGGGGGTCCAGGAATAGGCCGAGACAGCCAGATCGATGTCCCCAGGGATGGACGAGGGCCTGGACACCAAAGTCCCCCAAATGGTGGAAAACACCATGGTTTTCGAACTGCAGTAGAATCTACATAGAAATATCATAGAAATCCTTTAGAAATATCATAGGAATATCATAGATGGATGTAGCCGTAGCCACAGAATAGTTCTAAACCCAGGCAGCCATTCTTTGCTGGGGCCCAACAAACGTGACTTCTGCACGGCACCAATCCTAAGATCCAGGTTGATTCTAAATACTCCATTGGTATCCATTAATTATCATAAATATCATACATTCATCGGCGTCAATCGGATATAACAAATGGAGGTTTCCTGAAATAGATTGGCAGTTTCCACCGTAAACCATCCAGCGTTTTTGGGGTACCCCCGTGACTATGGAAACCCACAGATACAACCAACACAACCAACAGTTATAAGTTACCCTCTGGTTATTTAACATAGCCATGGAAGATCCACCCATTTTTAAGAACGGTAAACCATCTATTTCGATTAGGGCCATGGCTTCCATGGCTATGTTAGTCATAACCAGAGGGTATATCCCATAACATCACCCACAAGTGGCTCAGATCCAGGCTGCAACTTCGAGATATAGGTCTCAAAGGACTTGCTGATGGAAATGATGCGCACCGTGGAGCTTCTCACGACCGCCAGGTGATCCTGGCTTCGTTCTTCGTTCCGGGAAGCTACCAATGAATTGACTGATAAACCACCAATGGTACTAATGGTACTAAATGTCTACTGATGAAACACCAATGATGAACTGATGAAACAGAAACTACTGTCAATGTTGATTAGGCAGGTGGCCCAGTGGCCCCAAACAAAAGATCTTCATAGAAATATCATAGAAATCCTTTACAGTAGAAATCCCATAGTAATCCTTCAGAAATCCTTTAGAAATATTATAGAAATATCATTCAAAAACCAAATATCATAGAACTATCATAGAAATATCATTCAAAAACCAAATATCATAGAAATATCATAGAAATATCATAGAAATACCATAGAAATATCATAGAAATATCATAGAAATATCATTCAAAAACCAAATATCATAGAAATATCATAGAAATATCATTCAAAAACCAAATATCATAGAACTATCATAGAAATATCATTCAAAAACCAAATATCATAGAAATATCATAGAAATATCATAGAAATACCATAGAAATATCATAGAAATATCATTCAAAAACCAAATATCATAGAAATATCATTCAAAAACCAAATATCATAGAAATACCATAGAAATATCATAGAACTATCATAGAAATATCATTCAAAAACCAAATATCATAGAAATACAATAGAAATATCATAGAAATATCATAGAAATATCATTCAAAAACCAAATATCATAAAAATACAATAGAAATATCATAGAAATATCATAGAAATATCATAGAAAAACCAAATATCATAAAAATACAATAGAAATATCATAGAAATATCATAGAAAAACCAAATATCATAAAAATACAATAGAAATATCATAGAAATATCATAGAAAAACCAAATATCATAAAAATACAATAGAAATATCATAGAAATATCATTCAAAAACCAAATATCATAGAAATACCATAGAAATATCATAGAAATATCATAGAAATATCATAGAAATATCATAGAAATATCATAGAAAAACCAAATATCATAAAAATACAATAGAAATATCATAGAAATATCATAGAAATATCATAGAAAAACCAAATATCATAAAAATACAATAGAAATATCATAGAAATATAGAAATATCATAGATATCATATCAATAGAAATATCATAGAAATATCATAGAAATATCATAGAAAAACCAAATATCATAAAAATACAATAGAAATATCATAGAAATATCATAGAAATATCATAGAAAAACCAAATATCATAAAAATACAATAGAAATATCATAGAAATATCATAGAAATATCATAGAAAAACCAAATATCATAAAAATACAATAGAAATATCATAGAAATATCATAGAAATATCATAGAAAAACCAAATATCATAAAAATACAATAGAAATATCATAGAAATATCATAGAAATATCATAGAAAAACCAAATATCATAAAAATACAATAGAAATATCATAGAAATATCATAGAAATATCATAGAAAAACCAAATATCATAAAAATACAATAGAAATATCATAGAAATATCATCCCCATCATCAAAAACCCATGGGATGATCCCCACCTTGTGCCCTGGATAGACGCAGACTTTGTCGAAACGCAACGGCAGCTGGATCTCGCAACCTGGCCCAACAAAGGGGTGGCCTTGGATCATGGCCGACGTTCTTAAAACATCTCCAAATCCCCCGAAAAAATGTTGGCAAAATGGGAAAAACTTTGGTTTCTTGGAGAAAAAAATGGAAAAAAAAAGGGAAAAACTTTGGTTTCAAGTTGTTGGCAGGTGGGTGTTTTGAGCTCTTTCTCCCCCCCAGCACCTGGCAGCAACTGTCCAGTCTTCATCGAGAAAACGGTGAGTTTCTTGGACGTCGCCCTGGCATTCAGGGCCCAAAAATCATCCAAGTTATCGCTGATGATCAATGGGAGAACCAATGGTTTGGGGTACAAATTCGGAAACCTCCAATATGGTTCACTGAGTGTATACCCTCAAAACGTGAATGTACAGCTGGATTTTTGAAATATCAAGATCTCTTGTCGTTTATCCCGTGTTCCCCGCAAAAATGCATTCTTTAGGCTCCCCAAAATAACCAGACCTGGTGTCCCCACGGTGCCTTGACAGGGCATATAGCCTGGAACCACAGCTACTGAAGGCCATGTCGGCCAACTCCAACTCAGCCAGATCTGATAAGGTGAACCTCAGGTGGCAGAGGAAATCTGTCGCAGCTGAGTTGCTGTTGTTGGTGTTGCTGTTGTTGTTCTTCTACTTCTACTTCTACTACTACTACTACTTCTTCTTCTTCTTCCTCCTCTTCTTCTTCCTCCTCCTCTTCTTCTTCCCCTTTTTCAAGATGTCTTGATTATAACCGGAAATGGAAATGAATTATATAAAACCCAACAGTACCTGTCTTTAACACCAAAACTAGCGTGTAGTTATTGATTCTAGCAGTTGTAGACGTGCATTCCTCGATGGTATCGTAGGTGTACCCATCCCCAAGCTCACATTTTGGGGCGCCAGCAACAACTTGTAGGGATTCACGCTAAAAACGTAGACCTGTGCCGTTTGCGGATTGATTCAGCAGTGGCACAGAGAATAGATACTTCAAACTTCAAAACATAAGTCATCGTCCTATTATCCTGGGTTCCTCTAACCTGGCAATGGAAAGGTCGCCCCATTCATAGAGGACTGATTTCCAAAAAGATGTTCCAATCCAAAACGATGTTTTCGCCTTTGCATCCATGTATACGTTGGATTGCCTCACCAAATCAACTATCCAATTTGGGGTATGAACTCATGATTTTGTAAAAACCTATCAATATCGATCCAGTTTTCAAGGCCGATTTGGGGAATTATCAAACAAACAATTAGTAACCATTCCATAGTCATCCTATAAACATGATCCTATAAACCATCCCCAATCGGAAGCATGATGACATTTACATCATTGAGCATAACTAATCAAACCATCCAATCATTTCAGCCACTCCCATGTTGCTTCCCAAACAAAAAACCCGTGGCCTGCGGATGAGCACCGCCTTCGCAAAACGCGATCTGGCAGCGAAGAGGTCGGCAACCAGTTGAGGTCCAGCACATCCCGGAGGTCGAATTCAAACTTTCGGAGGGGTAGTTTTGGGGGGGTTAGGCCCCTATGATATAAGCGTCCCTACCATTACTCTTCGTTGCTGGTTGACCCCATTACCGATCCCAAGCTGCTTTTGGTTGGATAGCACATAGCCACAACATCCGTGTAAAATAGTGGTTATCCCCATTTTTGGTGGAGAAGCTATCCCAGTTCTCCCCATTTCGAGTGAATTAACCGCCAACATCCTCCAGAAATCCTCAACCATCGCCGGGCGTGCTAAGCCCTTCTCGTCATTGGAGCACATCTTGGTGATGGCATAGGTCGGCGTTGGAAAGGATGACCTCGGTGTTGCTTCGCCAATGTTTTCAGATGTTGGATCGGGATTTTTGGATTGGGATTTTTTGGGATGGATTTCGACTAGACTATACTTTATCATACTTTATCTTGGTTTCTTCAGAGTGAACATAGCCTTTTTTACACTCCAAAAGAAGATCGTTTTGGGAAACGATATACTCAGCCTTGGTGACCAATTCTAACTCTAACCCCTTGGATCCCACCTGGATGAAACATCTCCTTGCGGATCCAACGCTGCCGGTCTGGGGCTCCAACGTTGAGTTCTTCTCCAAATCCCAGAAGTGAACCTCCGCACAGGCGGAAGTTCCAAGTGCATCCCGGGGATCCTAAGTGGTTTATCCATGAATCCTGGGGATATTCCACTACCCTCTGGTAAACATACAAAAAGCTATTGAAAAATGGCCATAGAAATAGTGAGTTGTCTCATTAAAGATGGTGATTTCCCATAGTTTTTTGTAAACGTTTACCAGGCCGGGTAATCTGAGTTCATGTGTGCCATGGTCAAGTGTACATGGCGTCCCTGGTCATCCCACCAAGAAAATGAGGAGATGACCATTCGCGACCAAATAATCCAAGCTGTGATTGCTGTTATCCCATGTTATCCCCCTGAATATGCCATCATGAAATCACCATCCTGATGACCATCACTGATCCCAAGAAAAATGAGATAAGCATCATGGATCCTATTGGGGTATCACCATTTCGAATGCTTCCAACCAAAAAAAAAAACAACTGCCAGATGACCATCCTGATCCCAAGGGTCCTAAGGCTCCGGCACTATTGGCGGCCGTATAGCAAATCGTCCTGGCGCAGATTGGTGTTCTGAATTATGGTGATGTGGGGGGATTCCAGAAATGGGGAGACCCCAATAGCTGGATGGTAATGGAAAATCCTATTTAAAGGGATGATTTTAGGGGTACCACCATTTTAGGAAACCCCCATGTTGAAGCAACGTAGAATAAGTTGCTGTA